CAGATCTGATTTTGGGGCTTCATAGCAAAGGGGTGAATGCATATACAAGCACCACTTTTCCGTTATTAATTTTTTAGAATTTTTTGGAACAAGTTATTTTTTTCATTTCACTTCACCAATTTGGACTATTTTGTGTATGTCCATTACATGAAATCCAAATAAAAATCAATTTAAATCACAGGTTGTAATGCAACAAAATAGGAAAAACGGCAAGGGGGATGAATACTTTTGAAAGGCACTGTAAAATAAAATTCATGCTCGATCCGAAAATGTGGTCGGAGGCTCCATATGGAGGGTGTGACGCAATTGCAGTCTCCAGAGGCATGCAGAGGCCAAATCGAGCTCCGTTCAGCCTCCCAAATTTTGTAACAATGCGAAGGGCTCTGCATTGACATGATTGGTTGACGGTAGGTGGGGGCGGTACAGCCTGTATAAACACAAACTCACTTCCTTGACACAGCTCTGCACTGCTCCGTGAAGCGCAAGTAGTATGAATGCCCTGACTTCTGCTGAGGCCATATCACCATAAATGCTGCATGGCCAATGCAGATGTCGGATTGACCATGCACCCAGATGCACAATGCACTTCTCTCTCCAGAATGCGCTCTCTCCTGCCAATCTGTGCACATTCATTGTTTCATAACTTCATTGTGTGAATTGTTTACGTTTGATTGTTAGTGTATACAGTTGAAGTCGGAAGTTTCCATACACTTAGGTTGGAGTCATTATAACCCGTTTTTCAACCACTTCACAAATTTCTTGTTAACAAGCTATAGTTTTGGCAAGTCTGTTAGAACATCCACTTTGTGCATGACACAAGTCATTTTTCCAACAATTGTTTACAGACAGATTATTTCACTTCTAATTCACTCACAAGTCTGGTTCATCCTTGGAAGCAATTTCCAAATGCTTGAAGGTACCACGTTCATCTGTACAAACAATAGCACGCAAGTATAAACACCATGGGACCACGCAGCCATCATACCGCTCAGGAAGGAGCGGTCTCCTAGAGATGAACGTACTTTGTTGCGAAAAGTGCAAATCAATCCCAGAACAACAGCAAAGGACCTTGTGAAGATGCTGGAGGAAACAGGTACAAAAGTATCTATATCCACAGTAAAACGAGTCATATATAGACATAACCTGAAAGGCCGCTCAGCAAGGAAGAAGCCACTGCTACAAAACCGCCATAGAAAAGCCAGACTACGGTTTGCAACTACACATGGGGACAAAGATCGTACTTTTTGGAGAAATGTCCTCTGGTCTGATGAAACAAAAATAGAACTGTTTGGCCATATTGACCATTGTTATGTTTGGAGGAAAAAGGGGGCACGCTTGCAAGCCGAAGAACACCATCCCAACCGTGAAGCACGGGGGTGGCAGCATCATGCTGTGGGGTGCTTTGCTGCAGGAGGGACTGGTGCACTTCACAAAATAGATGGCATCATGAGGAAGGAAAATTATGCAGATATATTGAAGCAACATCTCAAGACATCACTCAGGAAGTTAAAGCTTGTACCTTGCGAAGAAACTACAGATTTACAGAGACAGAGCTCTGCAATGGCACTGTCTGTGATTTAGTGCACCATTCCTCAAACACGTGCCATTTACAATCATAAAGGGACCTGGTGGATGAGGCTCTAGCACTCTGAATTTACATTACATTTACCTTTACGTCATTTAGCAGACGCTCTAATCCAGAGCGACTTACATTTTTAGTGAATGCATACATGTTTTTTTTGTTGTTTTTTTCATACTGGCACCCCGTGGGAAACTAACCCACATCCCTGCCGGCCAAACCCTCCCCTACCTTGGACGACGCTGGACCAATTGTGCGCCGCCCATGGTTCTCCCGGTCACGGCCGGCTGCGACAGAGCCTGGATTCAAACCACGATCTCTAGTGGCACAGCCAGCACTGCGATGCAGTGCCTTAGACCACTGCGCCACTCTGGAGATACATATTTACATACCATAATTACATGTGCAGGGATACTGAGGGAGGTAGATATGTATAGGGGTAAGGGGACTGAACAGTTTTTATATATGAAATCTACCTGTCAGCTTTACTGCCCACAATTTAACTAACATTTTCAAAACACAAAAATCACCAACACTTTGTAAAGTTAGCTAGCAAAAATTAGCTAGCTACCTAGGTTAGCAAGCAGCTAGCTAACTAGCTAGCTGACTTATCTAAGTTAGTTAGCTAGCTAACAAAGCCAGCTAAAGAGCATGTGTCAATGCTACTTCTTACTGTCCTGCCAAAGGGCATCATTATTGACAAATTGACCTAAAAAAATAAGTGCCTCACCATGGTCGTTGCTTTCAAAATGTTGACTAAGATTCATTCCGTTGTCCGAAGCACTGTCAAAATTAACGGGCTCCTGAGGAGGGAGACACTGTCATCATCGGCTCCTGAGGGAGCAAGAGCAGGCCTGGCTGCCACAGCAGAGCGAAAATCGTTCTTCTCCCACTCGTTGTCCAAACTGTCTGCTGCTCCGACTACTGTTTATTCGTTTGTACAAAGCCGAGATTAAAGCCAAGAGTAATTTTTACAGGTGGTTTGAGAGTGTTTTGGACTAATCTTACTCATTGAATCTTGGGCTACATCCCTATTGTGTACGTACACTGTACACTTGAACGGAAGTACATTCATCATCATGAGGATATGCCCACATTCCTAAGTGAACAAAATGCATCCAACCATTCCTACAAGATCCAAGTTAGTAGTAACTTTGTTTGGACAGTGGTGCTGAAGTCAGGAAAACCAACACATATTTTTTATGGACCTGAGACAGAGACTAATTAAAGCCAGACCTGTAAAAGTTTCTCCAACTCCAAATCTCTCCAACTTTCTAGGGACAAACCTTTCCAGTTAAGTTAACTTCCCCAGTTACTTGAATCTCGGTCATGGACACGGTCTTAAATCATGAATATTGACTCCGCCTTACTCTCCCCCTCTCAAACACGGCTATATGTAGGGAGAGAGGGGGCCTCAATCACACCATAGAAAAGGTCTGGAAGCCCTGAGCTATCCCTGCAAGCCCCAAGTCTGTTTACTTTACTCACTCTTACCTCACATTGCCCTCAGCTATCCCACCCAGACCCAGCTACTCTTAGTACACCACACACACACACACACACCTTAGACACACATACAGTACATACTTCCATATTTAAACCCACACGCACAACATGTCTTACACAAACCCATATCCACATATTTAAACTGTGTGTGTACTAGACAAATAGCCACTTTCACTCACATACAAATGTTTGGAATATACATCAACAATCAACACTCACATTCTTGAGTGTAAAAATATACTTTTCACCAAATTCACCAAACACATGCACCTGCTCCAATATTTTCACCGTACACGTGTACATATACAGTTGAAGTCGGAAGTTTACATACACTTAGGTTGGAGTCATTAAAACTAGTTTTTTAACCACTCCACAAATGTCTTGTTAACAAACTATAGTTTTGGCAAGTCGGTTAGGACATCTACTTTGTGCATGACACAAGTCATTTTTCCAACAATTGTTTCCAGACTGATTATTTCACTTATAATTCACTGTATCACAATTCCAGTGGGTCAGAAGTTGACATACACTAAGTTGACTGTGCCTTTAAACAGCTTGGAAAATTCCAGAAAATGATGACATGGCTTTAGAAGCTTCTTCATCATTTGAGTCAATTGGAGGTGTACCTGTGGATGTATTTCAAGGCCTACCTTCAAACTCAGTGCTTCTTTGCTTGACATCATGGGGAAATCAAAAGAAATCAGCCAAGAACTCAGAAAAAAAATGGTAGACCTCCACAAGTCTGGTTCATCCTTGGGAGCAATTTCCAATCGCCTGAAGGTACCACGTTCATCTGTACAAACAATAGCACGCAAGTATAAACACCATGGGACCATGCAGCTGTCATACCGCTCAGGAAGGAGACGCGTTCTGTCTCCTAGAGATGAACGTACTTTGGTGCGAAAAGTGCAAATCAATCCCAGAACAACAGCAAAGGACCTTGTCAAGATGCTGGAGGAAACCGGTACAAAAGTATCTATATCCACAGTAAAACGAGTCCTATATCGACATAACCTGAAAGGCCGCTCAGCAAGGAAGAAGCCACTGCTCCAAAACCGCCATAAAAAAGCCAGACTACGGTTTGCAACTACACATGGGGACAAAGATCGTACTTTTTGGAGAAATGTCCTCTGGTCTGATGAAACAAAAATATAACTGTTTGGCCATAATGACCATCGTTATGTTTGGAGGAGAAAGGGGGGAATTGCAAGCCGAAGAACACCATCCCAACCATGAAGCACGGGGGTGGCAGCATCATGCTGTGGGGTGCTTTGCTGCAGGAGGGACTGGTGCACTTCACAAAATAGATGGCATCATGAGGAAGGAAAATGATGTGGATATATTGAAGCAACATCTCAAGACATCAGTCAGGAAGTTAAAGCTTGGTCGCAAATGGGTCTTCCAAATGGACAATGAACCCAAGCATACTTCCAAAGTTGTGGCAAAATGGCTTAAGGACAACAAAGTCAAGGTATTGGAGTGGCCATCACAAAGCCCTGACCTCAATCCTATAGAAAATGTGTGGGCAGAACTGAAAAAGCGTGTGCGAGCAAGGATGCCTACAAACCTGACTCAGTTACACCAGCTCTGTCAGGAGGAATGGGCCAAAATTCACCCAACATATTGTGGGAAGCATGTGGAAGGCTACCTGAAACGTTTTACCCAAGTTAAACAATTTAAAGGCAATGCTACCAAATACTAATTGAGTGTATGTAAACTTCTGACCCACTGGGAATGTGATGAAAGAAATAAAAGCTGAAATAAATCATTCTCTCTACTATTATTCTGACATTTCACATTCTTAAAATAAAGTGGTGATCCTAACTGACCTAAGACAGGGAATCTTTACTAGGATTAAATGTCAGGAATTGTACAAAACTGAGTTTAAATGTATTTGGCTAATGTGTATGTAAACTTCCGACTTCAACTGTATATACAACATATACGTATGTACGTACATACATACATCATCATTAGAATAGTCCCACATTCTAAAGTGAACAAAATCCCTCCAGTGTCTAATCCACGTGGCCTACTTTACACACGTACGTGTACGTGACCTTTGACATTTAGGTCGTAAATCATGGTCATAAATCGTTCTTGTGTGTAGATTTTCTGTTACTACTTACTACTACAGTGGTTCTAAACCTTTTTTGTTTACTGTACCCCCAATCACATATTGCGCTGCCCATGAGTCTTCCCAAGTATTCCCTGTTGAAAGGCCAGGTACCCCCATGGATAGTAGTACCTCAGGAAGAGACCCACTGTCTTACAAAAATCCTTTCAATATTCACCTTGTCTCCTGAGCCTACACCTTGGAACTCATTGCTTGTCACAGTGTGACAAAACTATCTGGAAAAAATGCTGAAGAATAGGGTTACAATGGAAACTTTAATTCCAGTTACATATTTTACTTTAGAGCTTGAAAGATGTTGTAGGTTTGACCTCTGTGTGAATGTCATTTTCTTCTTACATCTGCAGAGGAGTAAAGACATACTGTAAGGAATTAATGCTTTAACATTTACGTTTACATTTACGTAATTTAGGAGACGCTCTTATTCAGAGCGACTTACAAATTTGACCTTTAACAAACTGACCAGCATTTAGGTAAAATAAATATCAACATAGTTTAAATAAAAATGTGAGTACATTAATAATTCAACATCAATAATTCCATATTTAAAGTAGCTCACCAGTTTGTAACCCCTACTTGCAAGGGAAGACATATTCTGTCTCGGCCTGGTCACCTGAATAAAACCATAAGACATATTAGTCTCAGTAAATGAACAAGTTAACCAAATGTTACTAAAAAGAAGAGGGGAAAACATGTTTTGGGGAGGGTTAGATATAAACTTACTTGGCTGATAGTAGTCATAGATCTTGACCACCGCTGGCTTTAGATTCTGTACTGGGAGCTCCTGTATGATGTCCAGCGTGTGGTTGAAAGGAAATAGTGATGGTAACTGTTGGGAGATTTAAAAAAATATATATATAAACATATTGGTCACAATTATTTAAATGCTATAAGCAGAAGTTTTCGTTTCGTTAACACTCTACATGATACCCAGCATCATAATACGTTATAATATGTCATAACAGCTGACATAACTTGACATAACCTGTTATAATATGGTCATAACACTGTCATGACACATATATTTAGACCTGTTTGTGATATATATTGTGTTATTTTAGGGCTGCATATGACAAATACATAAGAGTGTAAAAACCAACAAAACCTACCACGGTAGTTATTTTATGGCTGGTTATGACACCTACAGTACCAGTCAAAAGTTTGGACACACCTACTCATTTCAGGGTTTTTCTTTATTTTTACAATTTTCTACATTGTAGAATAATAATGAAGACATCAAAACTATGAAATAACACATATGGAATCATCTAGTAACCAAATTTCTTTTAAACAAATCAAAATATATTTTAGATTTTAGATTCTTCAAAGTAGCCACCCTTTGCCTTGATGACAGCTTTGCACACTCTTGGCATTCTCTCTACCAGCTTCACCTGGAATGCTTTTCCAACAGTCTTGAAGGAGTTCCCACATATGCTGAGCACTTGTTGGCTGCTTTTCCTTCACTCTGCAGTCCATCTCATCTCAAACCATCTCAATTGGGTTGAGGTCGGGTGATTGTGGAGGCCAGGTCATCTGATGCAGCACTCCATCACTCTCCTTCTTGGTCAACAGTATGTTTATGTTGTATACTATATATTTTTTAATTGACCATATTAAATGAACATTGTAATTGCTCTGTTGCTGATGACCGGGATGAATGCAGGAGCAGATTTCAGGAGCAGGACAAGACACCCTCTTTTTGACTGATATAAGGGCATGTACGTGATAGGCCTATCTGGCTTATATGATTATAATGGCCTTAATGCTTCTTGACAGTGTCATAAAGTGTATTTTCTTAGTCCAAGTAAAGTGACACAGGATGGTCATTATGCTTCTTGACAGTGTCATAAAGTGTAATTTCTACAAGTTATTTAAAATATGATGAAAAAAACATGACCGTAAAGAATTCATTACAACAACAACAAAGGATTTAAGAAGCACACTTTTAAATGAAAGTAAACTTCTTTGCAGGGAAAAAACTCATTTGAATAAATGTGAGTTTTGACACTCTTATGTAGGTGTCATAACCAGCCCTAAAATAACACAATATATGTCACAACAGGTGTAAATATATGGGTCATGACAGTGTTATGACTATATTATGACAGGTTATGACAAGTTATGTCAGCTGTTATGACATATTATGACATGGTTTTGACCGTGTAATAACGTGTTATGACACTGGGTGGCAAGTAAAGTGTTACCAATCAGCTTTGCTGACTGAAGGACATTCCGCACAAATATTTTCAGAGATACTTATTATTTTCTTCAAATCAAATCAAATCAAATTGTATTGGGCACATGCGCCGAATACAACAGGTGCAGACATTACAGTGAAATGCTTACTTACAGCCCTTAACCAACAGTGCATTTATTTTTAACAAAAAAGTAAAAATAAGACAACAACAAAAAAAGTGTTGAGAAAAAAAGAGCAGAAGTAAAATAAAATAACAGTAGGGAGGCTATATATACAGGGGGGTACCGGTGCAGAGTCAATGTGCGGGGGCACCGGCTAGTTGAGGTAGTTGAAGTAATATGTACATGTGGGTAGAGTTAAAGTGACTATGCATAAATAATTAACAGAGTAGCAGCAGCGAAAAAGGATGGGGTGGGGGGGCAGTGCAAATAGTCCGGGTAGCCATGATTAGCTGTTCAGGAGTCTTATGGCTTGGGGGTAGAAGCTGTTGAGAAGTCTTTTGGACCTAGACTTGGCACTCCGGTACCGCTTGCCGTGCGGTAGCAGAGAGAACAGTCTATGACTAGGGTGGCTGGAGTCTTTGACAATTTTGAGGGCCTTCCTCTGACACCGCCTGGTATAGAGGTCCTGGATGGCAGGAAGCTTGGCCCCAGTGATGTACTGGGCCGTACGCACTACCCTCTGTAGTGCCTTGCGGTCGGAGGCCAAGCAGTTGCCATACCAGGCGGTGATGCAACCAGTCAGGATGCTCTCGATGGTGCAGCTGTAGAATTTTTGAGGATCTGAGGACCCATGCCAAATCTTTTCAGTCTCCTGAGGGGGAATAGGCTTTGTCGTGCCCTCTTCACGACTGTCTTGGTGTGTTTGGACCATGATAGTTCGTTGGTGATGTGGACACCAAGGAACTTGAAGCTCTCAACCTGTTCCACTACAGCCCCGTCGATGAGAATGGGGGCGTGCTCAGTCCTCTTTTTTTTCCTGTAGTCCACAATCATCTCCTTTGTCTTGGTCACGTTGAGGGAGAGGTTGTTGTCCTGGCACCACACGGCCAGGTCTCTGACCTCCTCCCTATAGGCTGTCTCATCGTTGTCGGTGATCAGGCCTACCACTGTTGTGTCGTCTGCAAACTTAATGATGGTGTTGGAGTCGTACCTGGCCATGCAGTCATGGGTGAATAGGGAGTACAGGAGGGGACTGAGCACGCACCCCTGAGGGGCCCCCGTGTTGAGGATCACTGTGGCAGATGTGTTGTTACCTACCCTTACCACCTGGGGGCGGCCCGTCAGGAAGTCCAGGATCCAGTTGCAGAGGGAGGTGTTTAGTCCCAGGATCCTTAGCTTAGTGATGAGCTTAGAGGGCACTATGGTGTTGAATGCTGAGCTGTAGTCAATGAATAGCATTCTCACGTAGGTGTTCCTCTTGTCCAGGTGGGAAAGGGCAGTGTGGAGTGCAATAGAGATTGCATCATCTGTGGATCTGTTGGGGCGGTATGCAAATTGGAGTGGGTCTAGGGTTTCTGGAATAATGCTGTTGATGTGAGCCATGACCAGCCTTTCAAAGCACTTCATGGCTACAGACGTCAGTGCTACGGGTCGGTAGTCATTTAGGCAGGTTATCTTAGAGTCCTTGGGCACGGGGACTATGGTGGTCTGCTTGAAACATGTTGGTATTACAGACTCAGTCAGGGACATGTTGAAAATGTCAGTGAAGACACTTGCCAGTTGGTCAGCACATGCTCGGAGTACACGTCCTGGTAATCCATCTGGCCCTGCGGCCTTGTGAATGTTGACCTGCTTAAAAGTCTTACTCACATCGGCTACGGAGAGCGTGATCACATAGTCATCCGGAACAGCTGGTGCTCTCATGCATGCTTCAGTGTTGCTTGCCTCGAAGCGAGCATAGAAGTGGTTTAGCTCGTCTGGTAGGCTTGTGTCACTGGGCAGCTCGCGGCTGTACTTCCCTTTGTAGTCTGTAATAGTTTTCAAGCCCTGCCACATCCGACGAGCGTCAGAGCCAGTGTAGTACGATTCAATCTTAGTCCTGTATTGACTCTTTGCCTGTTTGATGGTTCATCGGAGGGCATAGCGGGATTTCTTTTAAGCGTCCGGGTTAGAGTCCCGCTCCTTGAAAGCGGCAGCTCTACCCTTTAGCTCAGTGCGGATGTTTCCTGTAATCTATGGCTTCTGGTTGGGTTATGTACGTACGGTCACTGTGGGGACGACATCATCGATGCACTTATTGATGAAGCCAGTGACTGATGTGGTGTACTCCTCAATGCTATCTGAAGAATCCCGGAACAGTCTGTGCTAGCAAAACAGTCCTGTAGCTTAGCATCTGCGTCATCTGACCACTTTTTTATTAACCGAGTCACTGGTGCTTCCTGCTTTAGTTTTTTATAAGCAGGAATCAGGAGGATAGAGTTATGGTCAGATTTGCCAAATGGAGGGCGAGGGAGAGCTTTGTATGCGTCTCTGTGTGTGGAGTAAAGGTGGTCTAGAGTTTTTTTTCCTCTGGTTGCACATTTAACATGCTGGTAGAAATTAGGTAGAACGGATTTAAGTTTCCCTGCATTAAAGTCCCCGGCCACTAGGAGCGCTGCATCTGGATGAGCGTTTTCCTGTTGATTTATGGCCTTATACAGCTCATTCAGTGCAATCTTAATGCCAGCATTGGTTTGTGGTGGTAAATAGACAGCTATGAAAAATATAGATGAAAACTCTCTTGGTAAATAGTGTGGTCTACAGCTTATCATAAGATACTCTACCTCAGGCGAGCAAAACCTTGAGACTTCCTTAGTATTTGATTTTGTGCACCAGCTGTTGTTTACAAATATACACAGACCGCCACCCCTTGTCTTACCGGAGTCAGCCGTTCTATCCTGCCGATGTAGCGTATAGCCCGCTAGCTGTATGTTATCCATGTCGTCGTTCAGCCACGACTCGGTGAAACATAAGATATTACAGGTTTGAATGTCCCGTTGGTAGGATAACCGTAATCTTAGGTCATCCAATTTGTTCTCCAATGATTGAAGATTGGGTAATAGGATTGATGGGAGCGGCAGTTTACTCGCTCGCCGTCGGATCCATACAAGGCACCCCGACCTACGTCCACGATATCTCCGTCTCTTCCTCATGCGAATGACGGGGATTTGGGCCTTGTCGGGTGTCTGTATGATATCCTTCGCGGCCGCCTCGTTGAAGAAAAAATCTTCGTCCAATACGAGGTGAGTAATCGCTGTCCTGATATCCAGAAGCTCTTTTTGGTTATAAGAGACGATGGCAGAAACATTATGTACAAAATAAATTACAAATAACGCGGAAAAACACACATAATAGTACAATTGGTTAGAGGGCTGTAAAACGGCAGCCATCTTCTCCGCCGCTGTTTTTTATTATTTTCTTTTTACCTCTGTTCTGTTTTTGCTCTGTATTTTATTGCTTGAGAAATTGCTCTTTGCTAAGAAGCTATTTTTGTTTCTTTTGGACCATTTTCATTGAAAACAATCACATTTCCAAAGTGAAAGAAAATTATAAACCATTTTCCAAATTACAAAGAAGTACAAAATGATGATGTCTTCACACCCCAGAGTTAATAATATTGGTGGAAGCACCTTTGGCAGCCATTACAGCTGTGAATAATATTGAATAAGATTCTACCAACCTTGCACAACTCTTAGGGCAGCATATATCCATTGTTTTTGTCAAAATGTCTCAAGCTCAGTAAATTTGGTTGGGAATCATTGATGGACAGCAATATTCAAACCTTGTCTCAGATTTTTTTTAAAGTAGATTTAAATTAGGATGGAGACTGGACCATTCAGGAACACTTAACACCTATTGGAAAGCCATTATGTTGTGTCTTTGGCATTACAAATTGTGTAATTGTCCCACAGAAAAATAAAACTCTATCCCAGGGTATGTTTTTCAGAAAACTGAGAGGGTTTTTCCTCTAACTTTCTACCTGGGCTTTGCTCCTTTCATATATATTTTGATCCTAACAAACTCCCGGTCCCTGCCGGTGACAAGCATAACCATAACATGATGCTGCCACCACAATACTTGAAAATACGAAGGGATCAACAACATTGCATTCACGCCACATTACTGGCCTGTATGACACAATGAAAAGAAGAAAGCCTGTGTTCAAAAATCCAGTCCAAATCATCCATTCTGTTTGAAACAAGGCTGTTAAGTAATACTGCAAGACAACATGGAAAAGTCATTAACGTTGTGGCCTAAATTAAAAACTACAGGTTTGGGTTAAATCCAGTACAACACAACACAGAGTGAAACCCTCTGTATTTTCCAGTATTGTGGTGGCAGCATCATGTTATGGGTATGCTTGTCATTGGCAGGGACTAGGGAGTTTGTCAGGATCAAAATAAATATGAAAGGCACAAAACCCAGGTAAAGGAAAACCTTTTTATGCCAAAGACCAGAATTGCTTACCAAGAGGTGTTAAGAGTGTTCCTGAGTGGTCTAAAATGTGAAAATCAGAGACAAGGTTTGAATATTGCTCTCGATCAATGATTCCCAACCAAATGTACTGATCTTGAGCAATTTTGACAAAAACAATGGGCATATAAAGTTGATAGAATGGATTATTTGGTTTTGGTCTCACCTCTGTCAAGTACATTAACACATGGTCATCTTTAGTATCAACACGATCCACTTGAAGTGAACTCCTCAGCTGTGAAGACAAGCCATACATGGTATTCATATTGCATTGACAATAACGTTCAGTTTCAGAAAGGTTCACAGGTGAAAGAGGCAAGAGCTACTATACATGGAAAAAGGTCACAGGTAACACCATAAACGTCTGTTATGACAAAAACTCACCCTCCCCAAAGACTCTGGGTCTGGGGCAAACCCAGACAACATTTTCAAATCCACTATAATCATATTGGTAGTCAGCTCCTTTCCATGATATCTGTGAAAGCAAAGAGGTGCCTGTGATATCAAAGTTTGATTTTGACAAGTGCTTGTAATAATCAAAGGAATGGATACTTTGATTATTTACCCATAAAAAGACAAGGTTGCCTGATATGTTTTCTGACTGTTATGGTCCAAGCCTAGGTACAACCTAGAAGTGAAATAACCTATACATACAGTGCCCTCTGTAATTATTGGGACAGTGAAGCATTGTTTAAAATCAAACAGCTTTAATTTGAGTGTATTTTCATCCATATCGGGTGAACCGTTTAGAAATTACAGCATTTTTTATACATAGTCCCCCCATTTTAGGGGACCAACAGTAGGCTATTAACTTATATGTGTATTAAAGTATTAAAAAGTTAAGTATTTGGTCCCACATTCATGGCACACAATGACTACATCAAGCTTGTGACTCTACAAATGTGTTGCATGCATTTGCTGTTTGTTGTGGTTGTGTTTCAGATTATTTTGTGCCCAATAGAAATTAATGGTAAATAATGTATTGTGTCATTGAGTCACTTTTATTGTAAATAAGAATATTATGTTTTTCTAAACATTTCTATATTCAACAAATATCATACCCCCAAGACATGCTATCCTCTCACCATTACAATAACATTCAGGATTATCCGTAATCATGGTAGCATCCACATTAATATAGAAGTGTTTAGAAACATATTCTATTCTTATTTACAATAAAAGTGACTCCAAAATGACACAATACATTATTTACAATTAATTTCTATTGGGCACAAAATTATCTGAAACAAACAGGAAAAGCATCCAACAAATTTGTAGAGTGAATATGGGACCAAGTACTTAACTTTTTACTACTTTAATACACATATAAATGAATTTGTCCCAATAATTTTGGTTCCCTAAAATGGGGGGACTATTTACAAAAAGTACTGTAATTTTTTTTTACTGTAATTTTTTAACTGTTCACCCAATATAGATGTAAATACCCCACTTTAACCTCATAGTCATTGTTTGATTTCAAATCCACACTTTTAGAGTATAGAGGCAGAATAAGAAAAAATGCTTCTTTGTCCCAATAATTACGGAGGGCACTATAGGTATAATAACATCAATTAAATTGGGTCAGATGCATTCTGTAAGACATGCTCCAAAATAACACTGGAGTGTCATCAATGACCTGATTCAAATAATAAACTGATTGAAAGACTGCTTCTGTGAATGCAAATGTGTCATTCATTCTTACTGAGACTGGAGTTTCAGCATGACTCTGGGTCTCAAAGAGTTGCTGTTGCAGTCGACCTCTGTCTTCACCTGGATACTGAGCGTTGTGCTGTCAGTAGGAGTAGGAATGTTGTAGTGGAGCGCCACCTAGGAAAGAGGGAAGAAGAAGTCAGGGAAACAATGTTGTCTAAAAATATACATTTCATAAACTAAATATCAAGCCAGACAAAGCTTCTTAAATGTTTGAACTTCACAGTAATATATAAACCATATATTGCACCATAGGATTGGGAGGAGTGTATTCACTGACCTGCACTGAGGCACAAGCACTGCCCTTCACTTCCACGCTGTACTTCCCTTCTGTGTCCTGCAGCGTCCTCTCCTGGTAGAGAAGCTTGTTGTTTTGGTTCACATCGAAGAGGTGCTGTGCCCCACTGGGAGACTGTACTGTCACTGTGCTGGCACCCTCTCTACTGTACACCCTGGTGGAGTAGAGAGCTAGGGCCTGGAGGGCCACAACTGTGTCCTAAACACACACACCAACAGACCACAGAAAAATCTGTTCAAAATTAAAGAAAATACCCCATTTTACAGAAAGGGTTGATTTTTACATTGGTCAGTTCCTAGAGTGACTATTTCCCATTTCCATCCATTATGATTTCTTGGCTCTGTTTCAGTGGAAGTTATCCTCATCAGGCTTGCCATGACAAGAAGCACATACAAGCCTGTGGTCTGGTAAAAGTCAAGGTAATAATGCCTCACTACTAGTGCACAGCACAGGGAGCCATTTTGGAACAGAGGTGTTTTGGAAGTATACCTGTGTGGAGGAGAAGCCTCCATAGGCGTTCTGCTGTCTCACCAGCCACCTGATGATGCGGGAGGCATAGCCCAGGTCAGAGGAAGACAGAGGAGAGGCACTGAGGGAAGCCAGCAGAACATAGGAGCTGATCTCCACTGCCAGGGAGGCTGAGGTCTCTGAGGAGGTCTGAGTCCAGTGCAGGAGACCCCCTGAGGGATGAGGAACACACACACACAGAGAGACAGGGGACTAGCTTATTCATCATCATACAGAATACAAAGTTCTTCTCTGAATTTCCAATGAATTTTATGACAGACACCTGAGTTCTTTGAAATACACTGGGCATTTAATTGAGACTATCTGGAGTGCCAGACGTGTGGAGGGTTTGCACTTTGTGACTACTCCATTGGCTCCATTGCCCAGGTAAGCTCAATCAAGGCAAGACACCACAAACAGATCTTGGACCAGGATATGGCTCACCCTCTTGTAATGCGATCGTGTCCAGGTGCTGCAGAAGCTGGGCCCGGGTCTCCATGTCCCCTGCCAGGGTAAAGGTGTAGGCCAGCAGAGCAGTAGTGTAGGTGTTGGACAAATCACTGGTGGAGTTCCTCAGGCAAGACAAGCTGCCGTACACAACAGGATCCTGGAGCACAAAATAACAGAGCCACACATTTGGGCGACATGCTAGCCTGGTCCCAGATCTGCTGTAACACCTATTCTTATGCTCATTTATTAGGCTACTTTCAGAGAAGAAATACTTTCATTAAATAAATACACAACACTACATTTTAGAATATCTAAATGACAGTTGACATAAGATGTATACAACAGACTTAATACAGGAGGCTAAATCAGTTGCCTGTAATGGACATTGTTGCAGTGAGAAACAACGGTTATGTGGAGATGCTACGTACCGACACTGACATGTTGAGCTCCAGCATTGAAGCAGTGATGTAGGCCGTCAGTGTGACTTCATCTGTCACCCCACCCTACAAAACAATATGTTTAAATTCTAAAACATGTCCATGAAACTGTATCTAGCCTGATACAATTTTGCTGAAATCATCATTCCCAACTTTATGGCTGGTCTGATGAGACGTAAAACTACATCATCTTACATATTTTATCAGTTTATTATCAATATAAATACCTTCATTCTGTTGTTAAAGAGTTTCCCCAATCTTCTGAAACACCCATGTTTGCCTTGTTGACGTTCCAACCAAGTCTTAGATTCCTCAATTTTTGCCGGGTCAATATAAATGAAAGACTGTGCTTTGCCAAAGGATCTCAAGACAAAAGTAGTCAGCCTGAGGAAAGAGAACTTAATTTAATATCCACATAAAGTTGGCACAAACATAACTTAGAGCTTGACATTACATGCAATGACAGATTTTTTAAATTTATGTCACATCCATGGTCTCCCTGCCAGAGACAATGCCATTTGATTGGTCAATACTTAATTGAAACAGACACAGTTATAATGTGTTTACCAGTAGGTGAAAAACACAATACTCACCAAGTGTTCCCTGAGCCTTGTCCAAATGTGCTGTATGCACCATCAACATGCTTGTAGTTCAGCTGCCTTTGGTAACCTGTCGGTGAGTTTTTAGAGTGAACAACAGTGACCGAGTGTTTTTTATAGTCACTGACGGTGTGCCCCAAATGGCACCCTATTCCCTATATAGTGCACTACTTTTGCCAGGAAAAAATGAGTTCACTATGTAGGGAATAGGCAGGGTTGGGTAGGTTACTTTTTAAAGGTAATCCATTACAGTTACTAGTTTCCAAAATTGTAATCAGTAACGTAACTTTTGGATTACCCAAACTCAGTAATGTAATCTGATTACTTTCTTTAACTTTGGGATTACTTTCCCCTTAAGAGGCATAGAAGAAGACAAAAAGGATCCATCGAACGCATTTGCTGTGTCATCATAGTGGTCTCTGACTTGTGATCAGACTCGCTTGGGTGGAACAAACTTAAAATTGCTCCTTTTTCAATGCTGAATGGAATGTCATTGAGAAAACAGAAAGGTGTTAATGTATTTTTTCCCCACAAAAATTCTGAATTTAAAAGTTAGTAATAATCACGTTTTTCTAAAGTATCTGTAATCCAATTATAATATTTAATCTGGTAATGTAACTGATTACAGCGGGAATTTTGTGTAATCAGATTACATGGAACTGCAGATTACATGTAATCAGTTACTCCCCAACACTGGGGGTACCATTTGGAATGCAGCCTCAATATTCTCTGATCAATTTATTTCAGTGGGAAAACATCTGGAAATCCCTACATGTGTTGGGTCAGTGATGCTCTGTTGATAAGACACTGTGATGTCATCTATGCTGTAGCTCTATCATTTACATGATAGCAGGGTTGTAGTCATTAGGGCATACTGTGGTGAAACGTTTCAAAATGTTATTACAAAAAAAATATATATCTTATTCGACAAATCTAGCCCTGTTTCAGTCAGTTTTCTTCCATTTGGAGCCTAATGAATATAACCCATATTTTGAGGGACTCTCTTACCACTAGTGAGGAACTTGATGGCCTTGTCTCGGATGGCTGGAGTGAGCTGCTCTGTGTTCCTCAGGTACTCCAGGATGTAGATATTGGGGGCGAGGAGGGCCATATTCTGCTCTCCACACCCATACGGCATCTGCAACAGTCCATCCAGGTTCTTGAGGGCCCGACCCAGGATGTCGCCTACAGGTACACATGGGACTTCTGTAAGACTGTCCTCTTTAGCAAAGAGCACTGGAGTAGGGTTGCTTTTCCCACCACTACGCCTTTTTAAACTCACTACGCCTCTCTAAACATTACAATGGTTTATTTTACCCAGGACTGAGAGAGAAATTCGATCAGATCCATCCACCACATTCTTGGGGAGTTGCAGTTCCACCTCCTCTGTCAGAGTTTCTCCTGTGGACACACAGATGATAAGATGAATGGAGATGATCAGTTCAATCAAAGTGAACATTCAACGTTCATGCATTACTGACCAGTTGGACACAGCAACCAGTTGTAGGTGTCGGTCTTCTCTGTTCCCTCAGCCTGAGAGGAGAGGAGATTATTTTCAGTCAAAGGCAGTTACACTAGATGCTATCTGTACAACAGTACGTTCCACCACAGCAGTAGACTACATACTTTTACCAGCAGGCTCTGTGTGACTATGTCGATGCGTCCTCTCTCCGGTACGTTCACAATCTCATTGTCACACGTAGTGTGGGACTGGACAGCCTCTGCACTAACAGACACATTGAAAACCCCTACATACACATTGACAGACAGAGTGCAGCACAGGTTACACAACATCCAATATGGTGACTGAGAGTACACAACTCAGGTTGACATCCATTCTGCTGTTTGAACGGTTGAATGAATACTGGCGACATACCCAGGACAGAGGGTGCCATTGTCCAACTGAAGGTCTTTCGTCCATTGGCACACAAGCATGATGAGTACTGGACATCATTCAAGGGTGTGAGAGTGTAGTCTAAGGAGGGAGCCGGAGTCACAGAAACCTGCCAAAAAGAAACACTTGTAACAAAACATGGAAAAACCAAGACTGATACCCTGGGTGTAAAAATAAATACAAAGAATAAACCCTAATTAGACAAACTGCAACAAAACACAAGATTTTATACAACTTGAGAAACTCATGAAACAACTCAAGAAACGATCATGATGCAGTGCCGTACCATGATGCACTTGGAGAGGTAGTTGAATACAGTGGCCTTCAGCTCAAAGTGCTCTCCACGGATGATGGAGTAGGGCAGGGTGAGCTCCAGGAAGAAGGGCTGGAAGACAGTAAGTTTCACCGGAGGAGCCAGACCGAAGCCGCCAGGGGCCAGGCAGAATGCCTCTGTCTCCCAGGTGGTGATGGTGTCTGGGACTGTGAGGGGCATGTCTGCTGTTCCAGATTCCCTAAAACAGAAAGGCAATAAGTTTTCCATAGAGACATTTTTTGCCAAAGGGGTAAGTTGAGCCACAGTGTTAAGTTGAGCCACGCTTGTTTCTAGGAAACTATACACAAAATGTACAATTTGACCACATTTTTAGGAAGAGGTCATTTCATGGAGTCTTTAAAGGAAGAACCCACATGGAAAAAGTGGTAAGCAATTAGGTCCAAAAAACTGACTTTCACCAAGTCAAATGAATTTATTGTGTTAGAGGTTTCATGATTCTTGTATCTAAACCAACGTAGATAATTAAGATTGTTCTATACATCATTTGGGGGTCTCTATAAGCTTCAATATGAGGTCCTAAACCTAGCATGAAAGTGTATCCTTGTAGCTGTGTGGGCTAATATAGTCCAAATATTTGATAAACGCTGAAAATAAGATCTGTGGTAAAAACAGGCTAAGGAGATCTTATACTGTACGTTTTGTTCTATGAGATCATCCTTATCAGCTAATGTCACTTTTGTGAATTTTTAAGCATTTATGTAAAAATAAAAGCACATAAATCACATAAATGCTTCATAATTCATAAAGGTCATGTTAACTGACTGATATTATCTCACTGAACAAAATGTATAAGATCTCCTAAACCTGTGTTAACCTCAGACCTTATTTTCGGCGTTTATCCCAAAACCCTATTCCTTCCCTATTCATTTTCCCCATATGAATGGCTGAACGAACAAGAGATAACTCATTTCCGGGTTTAGGACTGGAAGCTGGCGAGCTCTATGGCAAATTGAGCAAATTGAAGTGTTACATTCTTTAAAAAAGCTGATTACATTCGGGATTACTTAATCTAATATCAATAGGAACATTTGATAAAACCCATTGCTGGCATTTAGCACACCGTCAAGACTTTTAACATGCTCTCAGAGATTCTATTGTTCTGCTGATCGCCCATCAAGGGTGGATGGCTTCAGTTGTCGAAGGTAAGGCTTCCAAAACATTTACACCTGGCCCACTGGTCAATCAGACAGTCGTCTGGATTACTGAGTTCCTGCTTGCTGCTTTGAAGCAGTGCAGTTTCTTTCGCTCCCTCCTTAATTAAATGCTTTCTGATTGCACAATATTTCAAAATGTAGGCCTAATGGCAGGAAAAACACAGTATTGAAAGCAACCACTATTGTTGCTGTTCAAGAGATAAGGGTCCCAGGTTTCTGGTCAGAATTGTATTTAATATTGAACAAAAGGCAATATTAAATAGGTGGGTGCATAAGCCATTCAAGGTGGGTGCAAAGGTATATACATTAAATGTACAGTTAGATATCAATAAGACAACTAACTATTTGTAATAGGCTATATTTAGCGATCTAGCTAACCACATCCTCAGGTGGTGAATTAGCCCCAAATGAATTAGCCTATGTGATTTTAGTTCAAAAAAAGATGTAGACAAATGAATCTCTATTGAACAAAAACAACTGAAAATTCTGGAAAACTATTTTGATAGTAAAATAATAACAACAATTGCCTAGTTGTCAAACCCCAAATTCATGACAATCACTGGTTCTTGAATCATACCATTTTAGTAGTCTAGTACACTTCTTAATGAAACACTTTGAATGACTTTATAAGACGATGAGGCTACAAATGTTTTCTTTTGCGTGACCCCACAGTAATTGTGGTGCAATCAAATCATGGGCTGGTGCCACCAACTGAAAATGTTAGTATGGACCCATGTAACTATGTTCTTACACATACAGTAGAATAGATTGAACACTAGTCCCCAATTTGGAAATACTCATGTTACTAAATGAAAAAACGCAATATTATATTAACGTTTTTAAATGTTTTAAAATGTCTGGGTGTTAAAAGTGAAAGTAATCTAAAAGTAATAGAAATGCAATCGGATTACGTTACTCATTTTGAGTAATCAAAAGGATTATGTTACTGATTACTTTATTTTTCATGTAACTGTAATCGGTAACGGATTATATTTTTCAAGTAATCCGCCCAACCCTTCCCAGGCTTAATGCAAGGCATTATTGCTGGGACATGAGGTAACAACAGGGCCTTTTTCTTTTTTTACAACGTGTTTGTTAGGTGTTAAACATATGTTAAAAGATGCTAAAAATAAATAAAAGACAAAAAGTGATTGTGTTGAATTGTGTTTGGGAAATTAGAGATAGACATGAACCAGGTTTACATCTAACCGTTTTATGCCCGTAAAGTACATTGGATAAAAAATGTCATGACAGGCCTGATGGAAACAACATTTGTCAGTAAACTTTCAAAACGTTGACAAAACAAAATACGCTAGACAAGGTGGGGTCTTTTTGTGTCTGTAAAATAAATTATGCGAGAAATGGGAATGGAAACGCTTTTATGCGCAAATATTGATAAAATAACCATCATATCGAAGTAAACTTGGAGTCACGCGATGACATGTTGTGTCGTTTATTAGGCTACAGATTAAATAAATTATGATGAACTTCACAGGGTGGTGAATGTGCAAGATGAAGAGCTTGATGCTCCTTTCCAATAAATATTGAGGGTTTTATTCTGGTGATGCTTGGCTGCCTTTTGACAAATAAAAATAATCTCGCTCTTTTGTCCATAATAATCTCATCATGTAGGCTCTACCCGCACTGTATCTACCAGCTGTTGGCTAGAGCACACGTGCCAATACCAGAGTGGGCACACTCGCTATAACACACATTTTTGAAAATGCAATGGAAACCCATTTAACTTGTCTTTTTTATTCAGTACATGGGAATTTAACCACAAAATGTATTTTTATGTGCACTACGCACAGCATTTTACCCACAACAAGTACATCTGATGGAAACACATCTCTGGTAGGAAAATACACATATTGTTTTTATGCAGATTTTAGAACATATTCACATGAAAATATGTCACCATTTGGATGGAAACCTAGCTATGGTTTTAATAAGGTAGTGGTAATATTTCATTCAGTACAGACATTTGTAGGCGACTTAACTTACCCTGTCACATGGCTCAATTTACCCCATACCTGTTACCTCTCTTTCGTAACGTCTGAGATCCCCAGAGATTGGAAAGCTGCTGCGGTCATCCCCCTCTTCAAAGGGGGTGACACTCTAGATCCAAACTGTTACAGACCTATATCCATTCTGCCCTGCCTTTCGAAAGTTTTTGAAAGCCAAGTTAACAAACAGATCACCGAACACTTCGAATACCACCGTACCTTCTCCGCTATGCAATCTGGTTTCCGAGCTGGTCATGGGTGCACTTCAGCCACGCTCAAGGTCCTAAACGATATTATAACCGCGATCGATAATAGACAGTACTGTGCAGCCGTCTTCATCGACCTGGCCAAGGCTTTCGACTCTGTCAACCACTGCATTCTTATTGGCAGACTAAATAGCCTTGGTTTCTCAAATGACTGCCTCGCCTGGTTCACCAACTACTTCTCAGATAGAGTTCAATGTGTCAAATCGGAGGGCCTGTTGTCTGGACCTATGGCAGTCTCTATGGGGGTGCCACAGGGTTCAATTCTTGGGCCGACTCTTTTCTCCGTGTATATCAATGATGTCGCTCTTGCTGCTGGTGACTCTCAGATCCACCTCTACGCAGACGACACCATTTTGTATACATCTGGCCCTTCACTGGACACTGTGTTAACAAACCTCCAAACGAGCTTCAATGCCATACAACACTCCTTCAGTAGCCTCCAACTGCTCTTAAACACTAGTAAAACTAAATGCATGCTCTTCAATCGAACGCTGCTGGCACCCGCCCACCCGACTAGAATCGCTACTCTCGACGGGTCTGACCTAGAGTATGTGGACAACTACAAATACCTAGGTGTCTGGTTAGACTGTAAACTCTCCTTCCAGACTCGCATTAAGAATCTCCAATCCAAAGTTAAATCTAGAATCGGCTTCCTATTTCGCAACAAAGCCTCCTTCACTCATGCTGCCAAACATGCCCTCGTAAAACTGACTATCCTACCAATCCTTGACTTCGGCGATGTCATTTACAAAATAGCCTCCAACACTCTTTGGAAATTGGATGTAGTCTATCACAGTGCCATCCGTTTTGTCTCCAAAGCCCCATACACTACAAACCACTGTGACCTGTACGCTCTTGTTGGCTGGTCCTCACTACATATTTGTCGCCAAACCCACTGGCTCCAGGCCATCTATAAATCACTGCTAGGCAAATCCCTGCCTTATCTTAGCTCATTGGTCACCATAGCAACACCCACCCGTAGTATGCGCTCCAGCAGGTATATCTCACTGGTCATCCCGAAAGCCAACACCTCCTTTGGCCGCCATTCCTTCCGGTTCTCTGCTGCCAATGACTGGAACGAATTGCAAAAATCTCTGAAGCTGGAGACTTATCTCCCTCACTAACTTTAAGCATCAGTTGTCAGAGCAGCTTACCGATCACTGCACCTGTACACAGCCCATCTGAAATTAGCCCACCCAACTACCTCATCCCTATATTGTTATTTATTTTGCTCATTTGCACCCCAGTATCTCTATTTGCACATCATCTCTTGCACATCTATCATTCCAGTGTTAATACGAAATTGTAACTATTTTGCACTATGGCCTATTTATTGCCTTACCTCCATAATTTACTACATTCGCACACACTGTATATATATTTTCTGTTGTATTTTTGACTTTATGTTTTGTTTACCCCATATGTAACACTCTCTTGTTGTTTTTATCGCACTGCTTTGCTTTATCTTGGCCAGGTCGCAGTTGTAAATGAGAACTTGTTCTCAACTGGCTTAACTGGTTAAATAAAGGTTAAATAAAAAAATAATAATAAAAAAACCTGGGGTGTTGTGCCAGGAGACCACTTTTTTTGGACAAGCAATGTTCAAAACTGTAATGCTTACATGAATTGTGATTATTTCCAGGGATACACAACATCCTGAAATCGATATCTTTGTTAGAAAGAATACTATATTTCCCTTGACAGAGTGATGTTGAATGTAAAAACATTTATCTGTTTACCCCACTCTCCCCTACTCTGTAATGCAGTTTAATCAGGTACAGGTTCCTAATCTACACCATTACTGTATGTTTTGATATAGGCGGGTTGGTTGTATAGCAACAAAACCGATACATGCGCAACTATGGAGCGAAACAGACAGGGTTGGCTTAAATTGTTGACAACATGTAAACTATCTTTTGCCTCCAAATGTTTATTGAAAACATAAAAAGATTTGCACAATGAGCAGTTTTTGTCTCTCAAATACATCGTTACAGTTTTTGGTTAGCTAGCTAGCAATTTTTTTGCCATATTAGCATAGACATGACATGAGTCAAAACACCTCAAAACAAGACATGGTATCAATAACAAGATACGAGCTGAAACTAGCCACCTACTATTCCCCACATGGCAGCTTCTTGTTATTGTTGCTAACTATCTGACCGTTCAGAATCTTAACATCACATGGCCTTCTGCCTCATCGATGTGCGCTCATTATTTTTGTGACGTTGTCAGCCAACCCGTCTATAGGGCAAGAGCCTCACTGTGCTGTCCTCTTACCCAATTTCCACAAGATCCCATATCCATGTCTCGGGGAAGAACGTACGGACCGTCTCTATGGGTGGCGGAGGTCGTGCATGTTCTCCAGCTACAGCCACTGGAGATCCCGGAACAACTGCAGCCTTTCTTAAACTGACCATGGCTACAGGGTGGGAGTAGTATCTATAGGGTCCTACTAAAACAAAACATAGTCATTATTGTCGTGTTAGAATCAGCCTGGTCAACCCAGACTGAATACTGTGGTCACTGGTGATGCATGCAGCGTTCAGACTGGTTTAACCAGGCTATGTTAGAATAACATTTCCCAAGATTCACCAAAGACTTCTGGCAATGACGTGAGTAAGCGATGGTAAGGAGGACATCTCACCATAGGAGCGATAGTGATGGTACTGGTTCCCCTTGTAACTTAGGCAAGAAGGTACTCTTAGAACCAGATTAGTTGCCAGCTTCAGTCCCAGTTTCTAGAAATCACAAACAGAGCTCAATATTAATGAATGTCTCTGTTTAATTTTTCTATTCTAAATGTGTTTTTTTGCTTCAAACAGGCTATTTTAGAAATGTATAATTTAAGAAGATGAATGCATGGTAACAGTACGGTAACTGATTCTTACGAGAGAGGAAAAGAGGCTTCAAGTTAAAAGAAAAAAAGGCAGAAGTTACCTGAAAAACTTCATAAGGTTGATTTTTCTCCTCAGATGGTCTATCTGGGTATGGCATTATGTATCTCCTTGGTCTTACACGTAAACATGTTACTGGATCATCAAGCTCGTAGGGAATATATGTAGTCTCCTTGACTGGTAACAAATCAAATATCTGGAATGGGATAATAAGGAGACATGAAATGACCATGTTCATTGGGCACCAAACAGAAGGCAGGGACTACTTGGACTTTCATAAGAAACGAGTCCTCCCGAGTGGCGCAGTGGTCTAAGGCACTGCATCACAGTGCTAGCTGTGCCACTAGAGATCCTGGTTTGAATCCAGGCTCTGTTGTAGCCGGCCGCGACCGGGAGACCCATGGGGCGGCGCACAATTGGCCCAGCGTCGTCCAGGATTGGGGAGGGAATGGCCGGCAGGGATGTAGCTCAGTTGGTAGAGCATGTGGGTTTGATTCCCATGGGGGGCCAGTATGAAAAAATTAAAAATAATGTATGCACTCACTAACTGTAAGTCGCTCTGGATAAGAGTGTCTGCTAAATGACTTATTGTAAACGCTCATTGCTAAACGTTTTTAATGCTTTCCGTGCCCTAATGAACACAACCCAGAATATGAACATGAATATGAACAGAATGTCAATATGAACCAATAGGGATATGCTTTCCAGTTGATGAAAGCACACCAAATGGCCCACGGTGAACAGACCCACTCCAAGTATGCTGTAGTCACTTATTATTCCCCTGAAGCTGGTTGTATTGCCAGCACCACAAAAGCTGTTTATATGGTGGTATGACCGTTGATATTCACTTCAGTGAGCTCTGTTACCTTGTCAGCATCCAGCCTCTTCCCTGGCTCCATGATGTGAACACTCTGGTCCACAGCGCTGAGGCCACAAAGGGAGCCGGGCTGGGCCGAGAGCTGCAGGGTGTTCTCCTCCCCTGGAACTGCTTTTGAGGGTGAGAACTCCACCAACACCTGGTGCACATGACATACATACGTGTACATTATACACCTTTACTCAAGGAATGATATCTATGTGCATGGAAATACTTGACACTTTTTTTACCTTCCATAAAATGAACACCATATGACACACACAGACGCATGCATGCATACACACACACCTTGTGCCTGAAGCATTTCTCAGTGGGGAAGTTCATGGTGTGGGCGATGACAGTCTCACTGGGTAGCATACTGTACACCAGGACCTGTACTATTGGCGCCATCTCTGGAACCACTGCCAACTTCAAAGTGACTTCACCCTCAGTTACTGCAACGCAAGAGCATGTCACACTGAGTACGTTTACTTGCACAGTAATAATTCGATAGTAAAGTGATTATGGCAGTATAGAAATTGAACTTGAAGTGAGAATGTGCTTACTATCCTCCTGCAAACTTCAGACCATGCGTATGCAGTTTTTAGTGGTTGAAGTATTGCATTGCAAGAGGGCAAAAGTAGTCTTGTGTAGGAATATATTACACTCTTATTCATAACAAAAAAACAGATATCTACATATAACAAGATGCAATCACTTGCCCTTAGTGAGAGAAGCGAACATTTATTTTATCTTTGCATTTTAAAATAATAGGAAATAGATGCCTATTTCTAATTATTCATTTCATTTCCATGATCATTGCAGAATACATTTTAATACATTTTGAAAACCCCATAATGACAAAGAAAAACAACGGAAATATCACATTTACATAAGTATTCAAACCCTTTACTCAGTACTTTGTTGAAGCACCTTTGGTAGCGATTACAGCCTCGAGTCTTCTTGGGTATGACACTACAAGCTTGGCACACCTTTTCTGACTGTGATGGTTTCATAGGCTACTCACGAAATAGCCCATAGGCCTACAACAAGTTAGGATAGGCTACCGTTCGTCCCATCTCTCATTTAATTGGACCCACTTCACAATAAATAGATGAGCTATTTCAAGTATTTGGCTCTATGCGATCCGATTCGAAGCGCAGTTTAACGATAGAGCAGACGGTTCACCTTTTCCTTGACTTTTATAAGCGTCCTGAATACTGTAATGTCGAATTTCTCGATTAGACAATATTTCATTTATAAACATAATACATATATCATAACCATTTCAGAATACATTCCTCACCTTTCCTGGCCATGATGAGTTCATATTCCCGAAGTAGCCATACAACAAATTACCATGTGCAGCTCTCATTTATTGGGCCTATTAGATTGGCTAGTGTACTGTCATTTCAAGTTTTTGCTCTATGCATTCGACAAGGAGCGCGGTTTATAACATACAGTAAAATTTAACAGATGAACAGCAGTTAATCTTTTGCATTGAAGTGTGTAGGCTACCACTGTAAGTAGGCCTACTGTAGTTTACATTGTAGACAATGTTTCAGAATTCGTGGGCAGTGCATCATATTTAGGTTCGGGAAAAAATGAATGCAAAACATTATTGCATTCAAACGATCTGTTTACAGGTCCACAATAATTTGCTATTGTTTTTGTTTTTAAGAAACGGTCAGATAGCCTACAAAAGAAACAATTCTGCCAACACCTCCAAAGATATTTAATCAAGTTCGCCATTGCTATTTCAATTAGATAGGGTCTTCGCCTAATTCCAATACTTTTAAAGTATACAGCCAATAAGGGCGTTACTGTCACCATAAAAGTAGAATGATGAGCTTTTTCCAGGCGGAGTTATAATGCTCGTTCACGCGCGCACAGTTTACGAGAGGTCTGATTCTTAACGAAAACATGCGCATTTATGGCGATATTTTGTGTTAAATTTACGCAAAGGTTGTGAATGAGGCCCCTGGTTTTCTGAGCAAACTTTCAAATTCTTTGGACATGTAAACACCTTAATCAGTGTTCCAGCAGTGTATTTGATCTGCGCATGTGCACGCACCATCCGAGCGATCTGCCCTCTTTAGCTCAAGGGAAATGATTTCGAATGAACAGTGCATTCGTTAAGTATTTAGACCCCTTGACTTTTTCCACATTTTATTATGTTACAGCCTTATTCTAAAAGGGATTACATTGTTCCCCCCCCCCCCCCCTCATCAATCTACACACAATACCCCATAATGACAAAGAAAAACAGGTTTTTAGATTTTTTTGCAAATGTATAAAAAATTAAAACAACGGAAATATCACATTTACATAAGTATTCAAACCCTTTACTCAGTACTTTGTTGAAGCACCTTTGGTAGCGATTACAGCCTCGAGTCTTCTTGGGTATGACACTACAAGCTTGGCACACCTGAATTTGGGGTATTTCTCCCATTCTTCACTGCAGATCCTCTCAAGCTCTGTCAGGTTGGATGGGTAGTGTTGCTGCAAAGCTATTTTCAGGTCTCTCCAGAGATGTTCGATCGGGTTCAAGTCCGGGCTCTGGCTGAGCCACTCAAGGACATTCAGAGATTTGTCCAGAAGCCACTCCTGCATTGTCTTGGCTGTGTGCTTAGGGTCGTTGTCCTGCTGGAAAGTGAACCTTCGCCCCAGTCTGAGGTCCTGAGCGCTCTGGAGCAGGGTTTCATCAAGGATCTCTCTGTACTTTGCTCTGTTCATCTTTCCCTCGATCCTGACTAGTCTCCCAGTCCCTGCCACTGAAAAACATCCCCACAGCATGATGCTGCCACCATCATGCTTCACCGTAGGGATGGTGCCAGGTTTCCTCCAGACGTGACGCTTCAATCTTGGTTTCTCATGTTCTGAGAGTCCTTTAGGTGCCTTTTAAGAAACTCCAAGCGGGCTGTCATGTGCCTTTTACTGAGGAGTGGCTTCCGTCTGGCCACTCTACCATAAAGGCCTGATTGGTGGAGTGCTGCAGAGAAGGTTGTCCTTGTGGAAGGTTCTCCCATCTCCACAGAGTAACTCTGGAGCTCTGTCACAGTGACCATCGGGTTCTTGGTCACCTCCCTGCCCAAGGCCCTTCTCCCCCGATTGCTCAGTTTGGCCGGGCAGTCAGCTCTAGGAAGAGTCTTGGTGGTTCCAAACTTCTTCCATTTAAGAATAATGGAGGCCACTGTGTTCTTGGGGACGTTCAATGCTGCAGAAATCTGTGCCTCGACACAATCCTGTCTCGGAGCTCTACGGACAATTCCTTTCACCTCATGGCTTGGTTTTTGCTTTGAAATGCACTGTTAACTGTGGGACCTTATATCTGTCGGACCTCATGTCCAATCAATTGAATTTACCACAGGTGGACTCCAATCAAGTTGTAGAAACATCTCCAGGATGATCAATGGAAACAGGATACACCTGAGCTCAATTTCGAGTTCATAGCAAAGTGTCTGAATAATTATGTAAAAAGGCTATTCCATTTATGTGTATTTTAATTTTAAATTTTATTTAACCTTTATTTAACCAGTTAAGCCAGTTGAGAACAAGCTCTCATTTACAACTGCGACCTGGCCAAGATAAAGCAAAGCAGTGCGATAAAAACAACAACACAGAGTTACATATGGGGTAAACAAAACATAAAGTCAAAAATACAACAGAAAATATATATACAGTGTGTGCGAATTTAGTAAATTATGGAGGTAAGGCAATAAATAGGCCATAGTGCAAAATAGTTACAATTTCGTATTAACACTGGAATGATAGATGTGCAAAAGATGATGTGCAAATAGAGATACTGGGGTGCAAATTAGCAAAATAAAAAACAATATGGGGATGAGGTAGTTGGGTGGGCTAATTTCAGAAAGGCTGTGTACAGGTGCAGTGATCGGTAAGCTGCTCTGACAACTGATGCCTAAAGTTAGTGAGGGAGATAAGAGTCTCCAGCTTCAGAGATTTTTGCAATTCGTTCCAGTCATTGGCAGCAGAGAACTGGAAGGAATGGCGGCCAAAGGAGGTGTTGGCTTTGGGGATGACCAGTGAGATATACCTGCTGGAGCGCAGACTACGGGTGGGTGTTGCTATGGTGACCAGTGAGCTAAGATAAGACTGGGATTTGCCTAACAGTGATTTATAGATGACCTGGAGCCAGTGGGTTTGGCGACGAATATGTAGTGAGGGCCAGCCAACAAGAGCGTACAGGTCACAATGGTGGGTAGTATATGGGGCTTTGGTGACAAAACGGATGGCACTGTGATAGACTACATCCAATTTGCTGAGTAGAGTGTTGGAGGCTATTTTGTAAATGACATCGCCGAAGTCAAGGATCGGTAGGATAGTCCGTTTTACGAGGGCATGTTTGGCAGCATGAGTGAAGGAGGCTTTGTTGCGAAATAGGAAGCCGATTCTAGTTCTAACTTTTGATTGGAGATGCTTAATCTGAGTCTGGAAGGAGAGTTTACAGTCTAACCAGACACCTAGGTATTTGTAGTTGTCCAGATACTCTAGGTCAGACCCGCCGAAAGTAGTGATTCTAGTCGGGTGGGCGGGTGCAAGCAGCATTCAGTTGAAGAGCATGCATTTAGTTTTACTAGTGTTTAAGAGCAGTTAGAGGCTACGGAAGGAGTGTTGTATGGTGTTGAAGCTCGTTTGGAGGTTTGTTAACACAGTGTCCAATGAAGGGCCAGATGTATTCAAAATGGTGTCGTCCGCATAGAGGTGGATCCGAGCGTCACCAGCAGCAAGAGCAACATCATTGATATACACAGAGAATGGAGTCGGCCCGAGAATTGAACCCTGTGGCACCCCCATAGAGACTGCCAGAGGTCCAGACAACAGGCCTTCCGATTTGACACATTGAACTCTATCTGAGAAGTAGTTGGTGAACCAGGCGAGGCAGTCATTTGAGAAACCAAGGCTATTTAGTCTGCCAATAAGAATGCGGTGGTTGACAGAGTCAAAAGCCATGGCCAGGTCTATGAAGAAGGCTGCGCAGTACTGTCTTTTATCAATCGCGGTTATAATATCGTTTAGGACCTTGAGCGTGACTGAGGTGCACCCATGACCAGCTCGGTGGGCGTGGGGCATGGGCAAGTTGCAGCGGAGGGTGCAGAGCTGGTGGCCGGCGTAGTGGTAGCCAGGTGGATAGCATGGCCAGCCGTAGCAAAATGCTTGTTGAAATTCTCGATTATTGTAGATTTATCGGTGGTGACAGTGTTTCCTAGCCTAAGTGCAGTGGGCAGTTGGGAGGAGGTGCTCTTATTCTCCATGGACTTTGCAATGTCCCAAAACTTTTTGGAGTTAGTGCTACAGGATGCAAATTTCTGTTTGAAAAAGCTAGCCTTTGCTTTCCTAACTGATTGTGTATATTGGTTCCTGACTTCCCTGAAAAGTTGCATATCGCAGGAGCTGTTCCATGCTAATGAAGTACGCCACAGGATGTTTTTGTGCTGGTCAAGGGCAGTCAAGTCTGAGGAGAACCAGGGGCTATATCTGTTCTTAGTTCTGAATTTTTTGAATGGGGCATGCTTATTTAAGATTGAGATGAAAGCACTTTTAAAGAACAACCAGGCATCCTCTACTGGCGGAATGAGGTCAATTTCTATCCAGGATACCCGGGCCAGGTCAATTAGAAAGGCCTGCTCGCTAAAGTGTTTTAGGGAGCGTTTGACAGTGATGAGGGGTGGTCGTTTGACCACGGAGCCATTACAGACGCAGGCAATAAGGCAGTGATCGCTGAGATCCTGGTTGAAGACAGCAGAGGTGTATTTAGAGGGTACATTTGTCAGGATTATATCTATGAGGGTGCCTATGTTTACAGATTTTGGGTTGTACCTGGTAGGTTCGTTGATAATTTGTGTGAGATTGAGGGCATCTAGTTTAGATTGTAGGTAGGCTGGGGTGTTAAGCATATCCCAGTTTAGGTCACCAAGCAGTACGAACTAATCTGAGGATAGATGGGGGGCGATCAGTTCACATATGGTGTCCAGGGCACAGCTCGGGGCTGAGGGGGGTCTGTAGCAAGCGGCAACAGTGAGAGACTTATTTCTGGAAAGGTGGATTTTTAGAAGTAGAAGCTCAAACTGTTTGGGCGCAGACCTGGATAGTATGATAGAGCTCTGCAGGCTATCTCTACAGTAGATTGCAACACCACCCCCCTTTGGCAGTTCTATCGAGACAAAAAATGTTGTAGTTGGGGATGGACATTTCTGCAGTTTTGGTGGCCTTACTAAGCCAGGGTTCAGACACTGCTAGAACATCAGGGTTGGCGGAGTGTGCTAACGCAGTGAATAACTCAAACTTAGGGAGGAGGCTTCGGATGTTAACGTGCAAAAAACCAAGGCTTTTACGGTTACAGAAGTCAACAAATGATTACACTTGGGGAGTAGGAGTGATACTGGGGGCTCCAGGGCCTGTGTTAACCTCTACATCACCAGACGAACAGAGGAGGAGTAGAATAAGGATACGGCTAAATGCTTTAAGAACTGGTCTTCTAGTGCGTTGGGTACAGAGAAAAAAAGGGGCAGATTTCCGGGCGTTGTAGAAAGATTCAGGGCATCATGTACAGACAAGGATATGGAAGGATATGAGTACAGTGGAGGTAAACCTAAGCGTTGGGTAACGATGAAAGAGATAGCATCACTGGAGGCACCGATTGAGTCGGTCTCCGTGTGTATGGGGGGTGGGACAAAGGAGCTGTCTAAGGCAGGTTGAGCTGGGCTGGGGGCTCTACAGTGAAATAGTACAATAAGAAATAACCGAAACAGCAATAAGCAAGGCATATTGACATGGGAGAGAGGCATAAAGAAATCACAGGTGTTATTCGAGTGAGCTAAGACAACAGCTGGCAATGGCGAGAAAGTTTGGGCTGAGGCTAAACATAAACAGGATGCGGTACCAAATAAAGGAACAGTCCAGCAGGTATCAGCTGTATAGCTGAGTTATCATAATGTCCGGTGAACAGCAATTGGAGAGTTCGGAGGTAGTTCGGGGGCTGCTACAGCACTGGCGAGCAAGAGGCCCGGCATGCGTGTGCAAGCAGATGGATCTTCGTGGTCGACGTCGTAACGGGAAGCCTGTTGAAACCACATCAGACGATTTCGTCGGCAAACCAGTCGTGTTGGATCGGCGGGGCTCCGTGTCAACACTCGGAGGTCCCGTCAGGTTGACAGAGAGGTACGTAGATAGCCGGGAGATGGGCCTGGCTCGCGGCTAGCTCAAGGCTAACTGGTGCTTGCTAAGGGGCAATGGTAATTAGCCAACGACAACAGCCATTTGGTTGCAGCTAGCTGGTTGCGATGATCCGGCGCTAGGGTCCAGTGATTCTGGCAGAAAATCCGATATGCTCTGGGTCGACAAATTGTCCAGGCTAGAGCTAGAGCTGGCTGGTGTGTAGTGCAGGCCACGGACAATGGTGAAGACGCTAACGGTGGCTAATAGCAAGTAGCCATTTGGTTGCAGCTAGACTAGTTTCTTGATAAAAGTTATAAATAAATAATAGAATCCTTTCCACGTTGGGTGAGGCGGGTTACAGGAAAGTATATTTATTTAAAGAATGAAAAATGAGAAATATATACAAAATAGACAAAAAACAAAAAAAACTGGCTATGTATTTTTATACATTTGCAAACTTTAAAAAAAAATCTGTTTTCTCTTTGTCATTATGGGGTATTGTGTGTAGATTAATGAGGATTTTATATTTATTTTATTTAATCCATTTTAGAATAAGGCTGTAACGTAACAAAATGTGGAAAAAGTCAAGGGGTCTGAAAACTTTCCGAATGCACTGTATGTGTCTTAAAAGTAGTTTTCACAAACAAACTTTATATTTCCGACCTCAGAATCAAATAAGCTTCCCAAAAATAGCATAGTCGCTGTGGTAGAACGTCAATTTTGTTTGACGATTTCTGCATTCATCAGAGTGCCATCAGTAGCTTGATTTCGTGGTCCTCTGTAGCTCAGCAGGGTAGAGCATGGCGCTTCTAACGCCAGGGTAGTGGGTTCGAAACCCAGGACCACCCATACACAAAATGTATGCACGCATGACTGTAAGTCGCTTTGGATAAAAGTGTCTGCTAAATGGCATATTATTATTATTATTTCAGACATCAATGTAAACAGGATTATTAGGGAAATTGTTCTTCTTGCAAAGCATGTAAACGTTTTAATCGAAGTATTATATTAATCTGACTATCCACAATAATCACATTATTGTGCGCATGTAACCGTACTCACTGTCGTTGTCATCAAGCACCTTCCAGTACATTCATAATTACTTAATGAATCTTCCATACCAGGACTCCCATGCTGCACAGTAACCTTCATATGTCCATGCTGAACTATCACCCCTCTGGATAAGGCCTGGAGGAGGGAAAGGGAAAAACAGTTATCCCATCAAGACAGCAAGAAGGAGATGATGAGGAGTATTGGTGTTGGATTTTTTAAAATATATATATATTTTTTTCACCTTTATTTAACCAGGTAAGCCAGTTGAGACATAAAGTCAAAAATACAACAGAAAATATATATACAGTGTGTGCGAATGTAGTAAGTTATGGAGGTAAGGCAATAAATAGGCCATAGTGCAATTTCGTATTAACACTGGAATGATAGATGTGCAAAAGATGATGTGCAAATAGAGATACTGGGGTGCAAATTCGCAAAATAAAAAACAATATGGGGATGAGGTAGTTGGGTGGGCTAATTTCAGAAAGGCTGTGTACAGGTGCAGTGATCGGTAAGCTGCTCTGACAACTGATGCTTAAAGTTAATGAGGGAGATAAGAGTCTCCAGCTTCAGAGATTTTTTCAGTTCGTTCCAGTCATTGGCAGCAGAGAACTGGAAGGAATGGTGGCCAAAGAAGGTGTTGGCTTTGGGGATGACCAGTGAGATATACCTGCTGGAGCTCAGACTATGGGTGGGTGTTGTTATGGTGACCAGTGAGCTAAGATAAGGCAGGGATTTGCCTAGCAGTGATTTATAGATGACCTGGAGCCAGTGGGTTTGGCGACGAATATGTAGTGAGGGCCAGCCAACAAGAGCGTACAGGTCACAATGGTGAGTAGTATATGGGGCTTTGGTGACTACATCCAATTTTCTGAGTAGAGTGTTGGAGGCTATTTTGTAAATGACATCGCCAAAGTCAAGGATCGGTAGGATAGTCCGTTTTACGAGGGCATGTTTGGCAGCATGAGTGAAGGAGGCTTTGTTGCGAAATAGGAAGCCGATTCTAGATCTAACTTTTGATTGGAGATGCTTAATGTGAGTCTGGAAGGAGAGTTTACAGTCTAACCAGACACCTAGGTATTTGGTACTGTTAGGTTGAGCACGGTGGTAATCTTCAACTATCTTCTTAAAGGATTCTATCCCTTCTTGATTGTTGGGGGAACTGTGGTCCGGTGTTAAATTGAGCCGTAAGCACTAGGAGGAGGTCGTCGGGTAAGCTTGGCGTCGGGTAAGCTTGGCTTTATACATAGCTTGGGCTTTGTCGAGTAAGGCTTAAGCTATGTATTTAGATTGTAGTTAGGTATTGTAGGTAGTTATCGTGGGTTTTTGTATGTAATTATTGTAGGTTAGTATTGTATTCGGCTGTGCCGGGTGTAGCACGAAGCTAGCTAGCTAACCCACCACCTGGACTAGCTGGCGAGTAGCTATTAGCAACGGTATAGTTGTTTCACGCCTGAGAGTGCCTGTAATTACGCCAGCTGGCTGCCTACAATGATTACATACAATAATTGCCTACCATTCAGCTGTTTTCTAACCTCATTGTCTGAACCGTTAACGTTAGGTAGCAAGTGGCTACTGTGCTTGAAATTTAGTTAGCTTGTTGCTACCTGGATAGGTACTAGTAAACAATAGCTGGAACGACCGAGCGAACAGACGCGAACTGGCTGAGTCAATTCAGTGGCTAGCTTTGCACTTGGCTAGCTAACAGTAGCTGCTAGGGGTAAGTCATAACCTACATCTGTGTTTTGTTTTTTACATATTGATAGCCCGAGTCGTTCAAGGAATTCGGGACATGGGTGACTAGTTAACGTTAGTTTGGCTCTCTCTGTGTGTTCGTACCGTGAAAGGAGGGGTTCTTCTTTGTCTGAAAGCAATGGCTAGCTAGTTTGCTAACTGTTCTAGCTAACTAACTGGCTGAATAAGTTGACGACGGACTCGCTCAAGCTGTCGGGACTAACCCACAACGTTAGAGACGGACACGAACGATCTGCTTGCGTGTTGATACACTGGTGGTTTGTTGTGGCCGAGTATTGGCGTTAAACCGTGTTGTTGGAGTCCGGCATGCTAGCTGGCTGTGGCGTCTTATGACGAGGTGCCCGGACGATTTTCACTGAATAATACTGCACCAAGTTAGCTAGCTGAATAAACTAAGTTAGTCTATTCCTAGAAAACATTGAACCGCTGTAGTTAACAACAATTATAGTTTCTGAGGTTGAAGTTGGGAGAGTTATATTTGGGAGTTGTGTTGAGGGAGGCCCCGCTCTCTCCTTTCCCAGATGTTTAGTTCATTTCATTCCGATCTCCTCTGCATTATTGTAGCCATCTGCTGCAGCCTGTCAACTATGCCTCTGCCTATCCCTGTTCTCTCCTCTCCGCACAGGCTACACAAACGCCTCACACCGCGTGGCTGCTGCCTCTCTAACCTGGTGGTCCCTGCTCGCACGACCCACGTGGAGTTCCAGGTCTCAGGCAGCCTCTGGAACTGCCGTTCTGCTGCCAACAAGGCAAAGTTCATCTCAGCCTATGCTACCCTCCAGTCCCTCGACTTCTTGGCGCTGACGGAAACATGGATTACCACTGAAAACACTGCTACTCCTGCTACTCTCTCCTCGTCTGACCATGTGTTCTCGCATACCCCGAAGGGGCATCTGGTCAGCGGGGTGGTGGCACAGGAATCCTCATCTCTCCCAAGTGGACATTCTCAATTTTTCCCCTGACCCATCTGTCTATCTCCTCATTTGAATTCCATGCTGTCACAGTCACTAGCCCATTTAAGCTTAATATCCTTGTCATCTATCGCCCTCCAGGTTCCCTTGGAGAGTTCATCAATGAGCTTGACGCCTTGATAAGTTCCTTTCCTGAGGATGGCTCACCCCTCACAGTTCTGGGGGATTTCAACCTCCCTACGTCTACATTTGACTCATTTCTCTCTGCCTCCTTCTTTCCACTCCTCTCCTCTTTTGACCTCACCCTCTCATCGTCCCCCCCTACTCACAAGGCAGGCAATACGCTTGACCTCATCTTTACTAGATGCTGTTGTTCTACTAATCTCACTGCAACTCCCCTCCAAGTCTCCGACCACTACTTTGTATCCTTTTCTCTCTCCCTCTCCTCCAACACTACTCACTCTGCCCCTACACAGATGGTAATGCGCCATCGCAACCTTCGATCTCTCTCTCCCGCTACTCTCTCCTCTTCCATCCTATGATCTCTTCCCTCTGCTCAATCCTTCTCCCTCCAATCTCCTGATTCTGCCTCCTCAACCCTCCTCTCCTCCCTTTCTGCATCCTTTGACTCTCTATGTCCCCTATCCTCCCGGCCGGCTCGGTCCTCCCCTCCAGCTCCGTGGCTTGATGACTCATTGCGAGCTCACAGAACAGAGCTCCGGGCAGCTGAGCGGAAATGGAAGAAAACTAGACTCCCTGCGGACCTGGCATCTTTTCACTCCCTCCTCTCTACATTTTCTTCATCTGTTTCTGCTGCTAAGGCCACTTTCTACCACTCTAAATTCCAAGCATCTGCCTCTAACCCTAGGAAGCTCTTTGCCACATTCTCCTCCCTGCTGAATCCCCCCCCCCCCCCCCCCCCTCCTCCCTCTCTGTGGATGACTTCATCAACCATTTTGAAAAGAAGGTTGACGACATCCGATCCTCGTTTGTTAAGTCAAATGACACTGCTGGTCCTGCTCACACTGCCCTACCCTATGCTTTGACTTCTTTCTCCCCTCTCTCTCCAGATAAAATCTTGCGACTTGTGATGGCAGGCCGCCCAACAACCTGCCCGCTTGACCCTATCCCCTCCTCTCTTCTCCAGACCATCTCCGGTGACCTTCTCCCTTACCTCACCTCGCTGATCAACTCATCCTTGACCGCTGGCTATGTCCCTTCCGTCTTCAAGAGAGCGAGAGTTGCACCCCTTCTCAAAAAACCAACACTCGATCCCTCTGATGTCAACAACTACAGACCAGTATCCCTTCTTTCTTTTCTCTCCAAAACCATTGAGCGTGCCGTCTTTAGCCAACTCTCTTGCTATCTCTCTCAGAATGACCTTCTTGATCCAAACCAGTCAGGTTTCAAGACTGGTCATTCAACTGAGACTGCTCTTCTCTGTGTCACGGAGGCTCTCCACACTGCTAATGCTAACTCTCTCTCCTCTGCTCTTGTCCTTCTAGACCTGTCTGCTGCCTTTGATACTGTGAACCATCAGATCCTCCTCTCCACCCTCTCCGAGCTGGGCATCTCCGGCGCGGCTCACTCTTGGATTGCGTCCTACCTGACCGGTCGCTCCTACCAAGTGGCGTGGCGAGAAGCTGTCTCCGCACCACGTGCTCTCCCCACTGGTGTCCCCCAGGGCTCAGTTCTAGGCCCTCTCCTATTATCGCTATACACCAAGTCACTTGGCTCTGTCATATCCTCACATGGCCTCTCCTATCATTGCTACGCTGACGACACACAACTCATCTTCTCCTTTCCCCCTTCTGATAACCAGGTGGCGAATCGCATCTCTGCATGTCTGGCAGACATATCAGTATGGATGACGGATCACCACCTCAAGCTGAACCTTGGCAAGACGGAGCTGCTCTTCCTCCTGGGGAAGGACTGCCTGTTCCATGATCTCGCCATCACGGTTGACAACTCCGTTGTGTCCTCCTCCCAGAGTGCGAAGAGCCTTGGCGTGACCCTGGACAACACCCTGTCGTTCTCCGCTAACATCAAGGCGGTGACCCGATCCTGTAGGTTCATGCTCTACAACATTCAGAGAGTACGACCCTGCCTTACACAGGAAGCGGCTCAGGTCCTAATCCAGGCACTTGTCATCTCCCGTCTGGATTACCTGCAACTCGCTGTTGGCCGGGCTCCCTGCCTGTGCCATTAAACCCCTACAACTCATCCAGAATGCCGCAGCCCAGTCTGGTGTTTAACCTTCCCAAGTTCTCTCACGTCACCCCGCTCCTCCGCACACTCCACTGGCTTCCAGTTGAAGCTCGCATCTGCTACAAGACCATGGTGCTTGCCGATCGGAGCTGTGAGGGGAACGGCACCTCGTACCTTCAGGCTCTGATCAGTCCGACAACCCAAAACGGGGCACTGGTTCATCACCCTGGCCTGCTGGCTACCCTACCTCTGGCGAAGCATAGTTCCAGCTCAGCCCAGTCAAACTGTTTTGCTGCTCTGGGCACCCCAATGGTGGAACAAGCTCCATCACGACGCCAGGACAGCGGAGTCACTCACCACCTTCGGAGACATTTGAAACCCCACCTCTTTAGGAATACCTGGGATAGGATAAAGTAATTCATTATACCCCCCCCCCTTACCCCAACCCCCCCCCCAAAAAAAAAAAACATTGTAAAGTGGTTATCCCACTGGCTATAAGGTGAATCACCTATTTGTAAGTCGCTCTGGATAAGAGCGTCGCTAAATGACAGTAAATGTAAATGTATGTAAATGTATTCGTAGTTGTCCCAATCTAGGTAGTGATTCTAGTCGGGTGGGCGGGTGCAAGCAGCGTTCGGTTGAAGAGCATGCATTTAGTTTTACTATTTGGAGGCTACTGAAGGAGTGTTGTATGGTGTTGAAGCTCGTTTGGAGGTTTGTTAACACAATGTCCAATGAAGGTCCAGATGTATACAAAATGGTGTCGTCCGCATAGAGGTGGATCCGAGCGTCACCAGCAGCAAGCGCGACATCATTGATATGGTATAGAGACACCCTTCCTCTGGTTAAATAAAGGTTAAATAAAAAAAATAAAAAAAGATGAGAGGCTGGGACTATGTCCGAAATGACCATGTTCAAAAGTAGTGCACTAGAGAATAGGGTTCTATTTTGGACGCACCCTGGGTTAGCAGGTTGTCACAAATTGCTCCTGGTTCTACTCACCAGGTAGATGACATCCACAGAGCCCTTTGGGACGGTCTCCCCTACGATGGCGTACTGTATGGTGATTGACACTTCCTCCCAACATGCCAGTGGTTTCTCCATCTTCTGAATATCCAGAGAGCTGGACGTTTTACTGTGAGGTGCAGTGGGCTGGATCAGTGAGAGTATGAGTTTGCCCTCTGTTGAAATAGGGGACCCTGTCTCTAGTGTTCTCCACTTGTGGTGTGTTGCTTACCTGGAAAGCAACAGAGGGAAGAGAGAGTATAACTAAAGGTCCAATCCCAAATCGACCCTTAGAGCTCCACCTTGCCCTCTGATAGGCTAGGTGGAAGTTTCACCATATTGCTTATTATACCAATGGAATCTTATAAGATCTCCACAAGAGCATGATAGGCCCTAGGGCGTAGGGTCAAGGGGGTGATTTAGGGTTGAGCATAAAGAGTCTTCAGAGTCTTTCAAAACCTAGAAGGACATTCAAAACCTCATACTTACTATGAGTTTAATATTCTCTTTGGGCATACTGGTTGTGTTGAGGGAGAAACTGGCAATACCATGACTGTCCGTGGTTAGGTTCTGTAGACGATGTGAGGACCTGCCTTTCTTCTCCAACAGGTAGACTAACATGTCAGAGATAGGTGTGTTGTTGAAGTGAACAACGTTTATCTGAGGAAAAAGTGGGGAAAGTTGTATGAAGTGATGCTATGTGTCACTGTTACCCACCATTGGTAGTTAAGTAAACAGGAGTGTCAAAGAACAAATGGCATCCACAATTCAACAAAGTACAAGAAACAATATCACTGTATTTGGACTTACCTTGCCCTCGATAATTGATCCATGCTCATAGATTTTGGGTGTGTTGACAAATGTGAGTTTTCCAATCGCATAAGAGAGCGTTATGTGTTTTTCCTTTGACTGTGTAATACCTGACAAAGGAAAACAAATTAAAATAGGATGGTTTATTTCACAACTACACGTCACCATGATGCACAATGGTAGTTCACAATGTAGAAACTGAATTCCAGTGCAGCTTACTCAAGATATTAAAAACATGATTAAAAACAAAATACAATAAAAAAAAAGCGGAATAAAATATTATGATGTAGCAACGAAGGTCAAACACACAGGTCTTGCCAATCTTCATGATCTAATTAAACATTGACATCATGCCATTCACTCTCAATAAAAAAAAAAAATGTTTTCATTTGACTTCAGGCAAATGGTGTCAGCACTTTTCCCATCTCCAAATTCTTGTGATAAATGACTTGCCTGTCCCCTCCTCTTCTACTTTTGTGTTAAAACTAAGCCTGTCTCTGAGCATTTTCTGGCCAGTATTCATTGTGAAAATAGACATGTTGAAGACATGAGAAGCACAGCCAGTTTGGTCCATCTGGGAAAAGCAAGCAGAACCAAACACATTAAGAAATGATTTAAATAAATGTAACCACATCACATTCAAATGTAATATCATGGTAAAAACAATTATATTGTTTCTTCAGGAAAACATACATACCTCTATTGACTCCTTATGGCAGGGGGGTGTATAATCAGGAACTCCTTGTTGACTTTTCTCATCAAATCTCATTGGTATATTGTGCTCTAAGAGTCGGCACAGCTCTACCTCTGCTTTACCAGGTACAGGTTGTCCATACGTGTATCTGATTTTATGTAATAATAAAACACATCAAAAACATAAAACATCATACAGTTGTTGTGGTCCTCTGTAGCTCAATTGGTAGAGCATGGTGCTTGTAACGCCAGGGTAGTGGGTTCAAGCCACCCATAAGTAAAAATGTATGCACACATGACTGTAAGTCGCTTTGGATAAAAGCGTCTGCTAAATGGCATATTATTATTATTAAGTCGGAAGTTTACATACACTTAGGTTGGAGTCATTAAAACTCGATTTTCAACCACTCCACAAATTTCTTGTTAACAAACTATAGTTTTGGCAAGTCGGTTAGGACATCTACTTTGTGCATGACACAAGTCATTTTTCCAACAGTTGTTTACAGACAGATTATTTCACTTATAATTCACTGTATCACAATTCCAGTGGGTTAGAAGTTTACATACACTAAGTTGACTGTGCCTTTAAACAGCTTGGAAAATTCCAGAAAATGATGTCATGGCTTTAGAAGCTTCTGATAGGCCAATTTACATCATTTGAGTCAATTGTAGGTGTACCTGTGGATGTATTTCAAGGCCTACCTGCAAACTCAGTGCCTTTTTGCTTGACACCATGGGACAATCAAAAGAAATCGGCCAAGACCTCAGAAAAAAAAGTGTAGACCTCCACAAGTCTGGTTCATCCTTGGGAGCAATTTCCAAATGCCTGAAGGTACCACATTCATCTGTACAAACAATAGTACGCAAGTATAAACACCATGGGACCATGCAGCTGTCATACTTTCTCCTAGAGATGAACGTACTTTGTTGCGAAAAGTGCAAATCAATCCCAGAACAACAGCAAAGGACCTTGTGAAGATGCTGGAGGAAACAGGTACAAAAGTATCTATATCCACAGTAAAACGAGTCCTATATCAATGAAGCGACTGCTCCAAAACCACCATAAAAAAGCCAGACTACAGTTTGCAACTGCACATGGAGAAATGTCCTCTGGTCTGATGACACAAAAATAGAACTGTTTGACCATAATGACCATCGTTATGTATGGAGGAAAAAGGGAGGTGCTTGCAAGCCGAAGAACACCATCCCAACCGTGAAGCACGGGGGTGGCAGCATCATGCTGTGGGGGTGCTTTGCTGCAGGAGGGACTGGTGCACTTCACAAAATAGATGGCATCATGAGGAAGGAAAATTATGTGCATATATTGAAGCAACATCTCAAGACATCAGTCAGGAAGTTAAAGCTTGGTCGCAAATGGGTCTTCCAAATGGACAATGACCCCAAGCATACTTCCAAAGTTGTGGCAAAATGGCTTAAGGACAACAAAGTCAAGGTATTGGAGTGGCCATCACAAAGCCCTGACCTCAATCCTATAGAACATTTGTGGGCAGAACTGAAAAAGCCTGTGCGAGCAAGGAGGCCTACAAACCTGACTCAGTTACTCCAGCTCTGTCAGGAGGAATGGGCCAAAATTCGCCCAATTCATTGTGGGAAGCTTGTGGTAGGCTACCCGAAACGTTTGACCCAAGTTAAACAATTTAAAGGCAATGCTACCAAATACTAATTGAGTGTATGCAAACTTCTGACCCACTGGGAATGTGATGAAATAAATAAAAGCTGAAATAAATCATTCTCTCTACTATTATTCTGACATTTCACATTCTTAAAATAAAGTGGTGATCCTAACTGACCTAAGACAGGGAATTGTTACTAGGATTAAATGTCAGGAATTGTGAAAAACGGAGTTTAAATGTATTTGGCTAAGGTGTATGTTCCGACTTCAACTGTATATTTCCTACTTAGAGATACATAGTATATTATAAACCTCATATGAGACATTACAAAGGCTCATACATGCATGCTTAGAACAATTTATAATGCATTATTCCTGCAGGCTTTCTTTAAGTCAAGTTTTTTCAACATTGCCAATGGACCTGTATTCATAAAGCCTAACAAATCAAATGAAATCAAATGCAGATGTTATTGCGGGTGTAGAGAAATGCTTGTGCTTCTAGCTCCGACAGTGCAGTAATATCTAACAAGTAAGATCTAACAATTTCACAGCATATACCCAATACACAAAATCTAGTAAGGAATGGAATTTAAGAATATATACATATATGGACAAGCAATGACAGAGCGGCATGGACTAAGATACAGTATAATATTATAGAATAGAATACAGTATATACATATGAGATGAGTAGTGCAAGATATGTAAACATTATTAAAGTGACTAGTGTTCCATTTCTTAAAGTGGCCAGTGATTATAATAGGCAGCAGCAGCCTCTAATGTGCTAGTGATGGCTATTTAACAGTCTGATGGCCTTAAGATAGAAGCTGTTTTTCATTCTCTCGTTCCCAGCTTTGATGCACCTGTACTGACCTCGCCTTCTGGATGATAGTGTGGTGAACAGGCAGTGGCTCGGGTGGTTGATGTCCTTGATGATCTTTTTGGCCTTCCTGTGACATCGGGTGCTGTAGGTGTCTTGGAGGGTGGGTAGTTTGCCCCCGGTAATGCGTTCAGCAGACCGCACCACCCTCTGGAGAGCCCTGCGGTTGCGGGTGGTGCAGTTGCTGTACCAGGCGATGATACAGCCCGACAGGATGCTCTCAATTGTGCATCTGTAAAAGTTTGTGAGGGTTTTAGGTGCCAAGACAACTTTCTTCAGCCTCCTGAGGTTGAAGAGTCTCTGTTGCGCCTTCTTCACGTCACTGTCTGTGTGGGTGGACCATTTCAGTTTGTCAGTGATGTGTACGCCAAGGAACTTGAAGCTTTCCACCTTCTCCACTGCGGTCCCGTCGATGTGGATAGGGGGGTGCACCCTCTGCTGTTTCCTGAAGTCCACAATCATCTCCTCTCAGTGTATGAGTGCTGATATAGGATCAGTGTAAACTTTTTGATCATAATGAACAAGGTCGCATGGACAGGGGAGACCTGATCGTAGGTCAGCAATCCTATTTTGAGATGCTTTATGAATACAGGCCCAGCTGTTCATGTAAATACCACTGTCCCAAACTTTTTAATTCTCAGGGTACTCACAGAAGCAATTTATGACATTGAGCAGTAGCATTGTAGGTCTTCAATTAGTATTTGTCATTAGCACAGACCTTGGTTCAAGTACATGCATATTTAAGTATTTGTATTTTAAATACATATTTTCTGTGTATTTGAGTATTTTCAAAGAATATGGCCCAATCAACAACTTCTATTTGAAATATATTTTCAAATCATTTCCTATAGATAGCCTACTATTTGACATTTTCAAATACTTGTTTCCAAATACCCCTGGGACCAAACAGACCTGGGTTGAAATGCATGGAGTATTCAAATATTTGTATTTAAGTCTTTACAAATACTTTCCAATACTGAATTACTAATATTTTCAAAGAAACATTTCCAAATAAACGTACTTTGAAATGTATGTAAAAGTAATTAAAATACTGAAAATAGTATTTGAATCAAGGTCTGCATTAGCGTAATGCGATTCATTAGACAGTGACATTTAGTGGAATTACACATTGTCTTGTAACTATAGTGCATTTCAAAACAGCGATAGTGTTGACTCACATTGCACACACTTCTACTTTATACTCCTCTTGAACAATGCTGATCTCATCGGTGAGGTTCATTTTGATTTCAAACTTTGGCAAAACTAGAAATAAAAGAATGGCAGTTATCTCGTGAATGTTCCAGGATTGTGATGCATTGACTCAACTGCCAGATCCATAATATTACCTAGCATGAAAGGTCCAATAAAGAAGCTCAACTTACCATACTTTTCTACCTTGAAGTGATGGTATATTTTGTTTTCACCAATCCACACTACAATAGCATAGGATCCTACAGGTGCTTCAGAGTTCAAGGGGTGAGAAAGCTGCAGAATGTTGCCACTGGATGTAGTATTGACCCACTGTCCAATCCTGTTCTGATGAACATCCTGTTGATTCATAGAACAAGGGACACGTTTAGCAGGGCACAACATTGTGGAACGTTCAGGTATAAATTATGTTATGTAGGCCAAACATGCCTGTCTGATATGAAGAGTAAGGAGTCACATCAGCTCTATTCATGACATTTCTATCTGCAAAGTTACAAAGTTTGCTTGCTGAAGGTGGCCCAGATGTGATTACATAAAGCTGATAGGGAGTTTTCTGGGAACTGCCATGTGGAAATGAATGATGACCTACAGGACCTAGCTGGTGGAGTCATTGTCTTATAATGTAGTAGTATTTACAGTGACAGTCATCATACATTGACAGACTAAGGGTCTTACCTCAAGTTCCACAATGTTGTACTGTGAAGTGCAAGACAAAAGACTGGTTAATGTTTTATGAATAACTCGCAAATTACCCAACATTTTAAGAGGAGCAAAGCTGTCAACAACAATAGGAACTAGGCAGATGCTTGGCTTTGTCTCTTCAGTTAAACATCACATGTAGCTTTTGCACTGTGACTCTAATGTAAATTCAGTAGATTAATTCAATCTCAGGGAAAGAATTCCCATACATCTGACCTACAGTGGGGAAAAAAAGTATTTAGTCAGCCACCAATTGTGCAAGTTCTCCCACTTAAAAAGATGAGAGATGCCTGTAATTTTCATCATAGGTACACGTCAACTATGACAGACAAATTGAGAAAAAAAAATCCAGAAAATCACATTGTACGATTTTTTATGAATTTATTTGCAAATTATGGTGGAAAATAAGTATTTGGTCACCTACAAACAAGCAAGATTTCTGGCTCTCACAGACCTGTAACTTCTTCTTTAAGAGGCTCCTCTGTCCTCCCCTCGTTACCTGTATTAATGGCACCTGTTTGAACTTGTTATCAGTATAAAATACACCTGTCCACAACCTCAAACAGTCACACTCCAAACTCCACTATGGCCAAGACCAAAGAGCTGTCAAAGGACACCAGAAACAAAATTGTAGACCTGCACCAGGCTGGGAAGACTGAATCTGCAATAGGTAAGCAGCTTGGTTTGAAGAAATCAACTGTGGGAGCAATTATTAGGAAATGGAAGACATACAACACCACTGATAATCTCCCTCGATCTGGGGCTCCACACAAGATCTCACCCCGTGGGGTCAAAATGATCACAAGAACGGTGAGCAAAAATCCCAGAACCACACGGGGGGACCTAGTGAATGACCTGCAGAGAGCTGGGACCAAAGTAACAAAGCCTACCATCAGTAACACACTACGCCGCCAGGGACTCAAATCCTGCTGTGTCCCCCTGCTTAAGCCAGTACATGTCCAGGCCCGTCTGAAGTTTGCTAGAGTGCATATGGATGATCCAGAAGAGGATTGGGAGAATGTCATATGGTCAGATGAAACCAAAATATAACTTTTTGGTAAAAACTCAACTCGTCGTGTTTGGAGTACAAAGAATGCTGAGTTGCATCCAAAGAACACCATACCTACTGTGAAGCATGGGTGTGGAAACATCATGCTTTGGGGCTGTTTCTCTGCAAAGGGACCAGGACGACTGATCCGTGTAAAGGAAAGAATGAATGGGGCCATGTATCGTGAGATTTTGAGTGAAAACCTCCTTCCATCAGCAAGGGCATTGAAGATGAAACGTGGCTGGGTCTTTCAGCATGACAATGATCCCAAACACACCGCCCGGGCAACGAAGGAGTGGCTTCGTAAGAAGCATTTCAAGGTCCTGGAGTGGCCTAGCCAGTCTCCAGATCTCAACCCCATAGAAAATCTTTGGAGGGAGTTGAAAATCCGTGTTGCCCAGCGACAGCCCCAAAACATCACTGCTCTAGAGGAGATCTGCATGGAGGAATGGGCCAAAATACCAGCAACAGTGTGTGAAAACCTTGTGAAGACTTACAGAAAACGTTTGACCTGTGTCATTGCCAACAAAGGGTATATAACAAAGTATTGAGAAACTTTTGTTATTGACCAAATACTTATTTTCCACCATAATTTGCAAATAAATTCATTAAAAATCCTACAATGTGATTTTCTGGAATTTCTTTTCTAATTTTGTCTGTCATAGTTGACGTGTACCTATGATGAAAATTACAGGCCTCTCTCATCTTTTTAAGTGGGAGAACTTGCACAATTGGTGGCTGACTAAATACTTTTTTTCCCCACTGTATATGAATGGAAAACACCATGTCTTGGTGGTAAATGTTTGAGGACCTTCAAATCCACCCACGCAGGTTTACTTAGAAAACCTCTGCAGACATACAGTATGTTTGCCCTGAGTGCTATGTGTCTCAACTGTTTGTGTAGCCTTATCAAACAGACAACATGGGCTAAATATTTGAATTTGGGATTTTGCCCAATAGTTGTTCAAAACATTTCCCATTTCCAAAGTCTTATTGGTCATTTGAGTGCTAACGAGATGTGTATGACGTGGTGGCTAGTTGATTGCTGAATTCAAATAAGCATTTACAGTATATTGTACATAATATGCCTTGTCCTTGTCCATAGGGCAGGAGCCTGTGTCCTGTTTCTGTAGCGTGAAGCAGCCTGTATTGCTGGGCCTTACCCCCAATCCATCTCCTTAATATTGAGTGTCAAGCAGAGAGGCATCGGGTCCCATTTTTACAGTCTTTGGTATGACTCGATTCCCCCCCCCATCCATTCCCACTCTAACCACAAGGCCGCAGAGTTTAGCTGGTTGGACAATATCATATATAGGGTTACATAATACCTGATTGCTATGTCTATCAGACAGTAATATAACGTTGTGATTCTTGAGATTCTTCAGTATCTGTCTTTTTGTTTGAAATAGTGGAGACAGGTCATTGTTTTCAATATTCAATGTTTCACATTTTTGATACTCACCAGCTGATTGACAGGGCTAAAACTTGTATCCAAGGTGATCACTCTAAACTGCACTGTAAAAAGACAATGAAAAGACAAAGACAGGCACTCAATGAGAGGTTTAGAAGCATATTTTTGCTAACTTTCCCAGGTTTTCCAGAAATCCCCATTGAAGGATTCCCAGATTCCAGGAATCTTTCAATCGGGATTTCTGGAAAACTAGGGATTTTCATGAAAGTTCCCAGAATTTTGCAAGACAAACTTTTGACAGCTACTCTGGATAATATTTTACACTGTTGGTATTAAGGTCTCAATTCAATCAATTGCAGATAAAGGAAAACTGCACTGTGAGTTCACAGAAAATATTTACACTATCGATATCACATTATTATTTGTTTTACCCTTATTTTACCATGTAAGTTGACTGAGAACACATTCTCATTTACAGCAACGACCTGGGGAATAGTTACAGGGGAGAGGATGGGGAATGAATGAGCCAATTGGAATCCAATGATAATGTCCAGGAGAGGAACAGCTTGTAAAATGGGGTATGTTGGTTCATACTCCAGTGTACATATTTTGAGTAAACCCACAGTGGATTTTTTTCTTTAACTGCACCTGATGGTCCTGTTTCAAGTGTCTCTTAGGAGTAACGTGATTATAGAGTAAACCATCATAGAAACATGCTACCACCTAATGGTGCTGTTTCTTAGCAAGCAGACTAATTGTGTACTGGCTCTGTGTAAAATTACCTGTGTGTCCCGGGTTGTAGATTGGTTTATCTGTTTGGACGAATGTCATCGGACTGTAGGGTTTAATCATGACCTTTCTCTCCACTGTCGATAGAAACGTTTCACCTCGAACCTCCACCTTAAAATGTTGCACTTCGTCACTCTCCACATGAGGGGCCTGTCCGGGAGACAATGTACAAATAACATATGATCCTGTGCAGCTCAGTTGGTAAGAACGTGCTCCTAACAACGTCAAGGATGTGTAGATTCAATAACTTTTTCATTCATCAGTGTGTTTTAAAAGTGCTTTTTCTTTAGTAGTTGATGTCATGTTTTTCATGTAAAATTTTAGCCTGAATCCCAGAAAAGTTATAGTAAGCCACCACATTGATATGTCCCATAAAATAACCTGGCATTGCACACAAAATTAAGAGATGCATCACAAAGCTGAGAAGTACAGTACACTCTTATTGGAATGGTTCTGGATGTCGCCCAGTGCTGGGCTGACCTGAAACTGGAAGCAGCGGTGAAACTCTTGGTCAGAACTCTCTTGGAGAAGAGTTTTGTTCTGTCCATTGGCGATCAGAGATATGGTCATGACCAGGGTCTCATTGGGCTGTAGAAGGCTGGCACAAAGTTTGGCCTCTGAGCCTGCCTGGATCACTGCAGGAGTGGCTACCATGTAAACCCTACAGAGAACATACACACGCACGCACACAGCAACAAACACACAGGAAAATCAGTACAAAATGAGAGGGCACCTCTAAACAAGAAACTACAGATGTAGGATTTTAATTTGACCAGTATTGTCAAATAATCCTGCAGCCACAGGATTTGAACGTTTAGTCCATAATGTTGCTTGATATGTGTTTTGGCTGTTAGCTGGGCAAAGTGCAATACTGTTAATATAACAGTGTGTTAGTGCATTCTGCATTTCCTGTGGCACCATATATGTAAAATGTGTGTAGAATGTACATGTAACAACAAAAGAAAAAGCTGTAAAAATCATTTTTATTTTGTCCTCCGAAGAGGGTGGATGGGCCAATAAAAACATTTAAAAAAAAAAAAAAAAAAGATACAAAAAATTAAGAATAATATGTAGGTATAGGTGAAATACACAGAAAAAAATATTTGCAGAAAGGGTAGATGAAAAACTGTTCTAAATTTGCTCTCTGACAGAGAGAATGTTACACCAGGACGAGGCGCCACGTCTGATTACTCAATTCTACTTACGGTCTTGGAGTTTCTTGACAGACACAAAGCCAGTGAAAGCAAGCAAAGAGTATCCATCTCCAAACCTGAAGTCCAGAAGGAACCATGACTGAAGGAAATAAAAAACACAAAGTCAGCCTATGTCCCGGTATTTCTACTGGCAAGACCTCCCTACTGCACTGTTTAGAGGACAAGGAGAGGAACTGGTGTAGCCAGGTTAAATGATTGAAGTAAAAGCCTTGTGAACGTTTGACCAATTTGTGTCAATAACAGTGATTTTCACTGTTGTGATTGGCTGATTCTCTTGATGCACCATCACTATACAAACAGTACAGTGCATGACCTGATTACATCTCAGTAGATTGCATGCAATGCCTGTTTTTGTTTGTTTGTCCATAATATACAGTGGGGTCCAAAATGATTGGATCCCTTGATAAAGATGAGCAAAGAAGACTATAAAATAAATAATAGAACTACTGAGCTTCCATTCCTCCATACAGAATATTTCCAGATCCTTGATATCCTTCATCTGCGCTTATTGACAGTTATCTTCAATTCAAACTACAGGTTTTCAATGGGGTTCAAGTCTGAAGACTGAGATGGCCATTGCAAAATGTAGATTTTGTGGTCAATTAACCTTTTTTATGAGCCATACCAAAGACTCTAAAAATGGGACCCGATGCCTCTCTGCTTGGCACTCAGCGTTAAGGAGATGGATTGGGGTTAATGCCCTGCGATAGACTAGTGTCCTGTCCAGGCTGCCTCAAGTTACAGAAACAGGAGATAGGCTCCTGCCCTATGGACAAGGATAATTATGTACAATATACTGTAAATGCATTTTCAACTAGCCACCACGTCATTCACATCTCATTAGTACTTCAAAACATTTCCAAAGCCTTATTGTTCATGAACAACTATTGGGCAAAATCCAAATCTTTAGCCAATGTTATTTGTTTGATAAGGCTACAAAAACAGTTGAGACCCATTGAACTCAGGGCAAACATACTGTACATGTCTGCACAGGTTTTCTAAGTAAACCTGAGTGGGTGGATTTGAATGTCGTTAAACATTCACCACAAGACAGTTTTTTCCATTCATATAGATCAGATTTGAATGTATGGGATTTTTTTTCCTTAGATTGAATTAATCTACTGAATTTACATTAGAGTCCCAGTGCAAAAGCTATATGTGATGTTTAATTGAAGAGCCAAAGCCAAGCATCTGCCTAGTTTCTATTGTTGACAGCTTTGCTCCTCTGTTAATTTTGGTGGAATTTGAGAGTTATTCATAAAACATTAACCAGACTTTTGTCTTGCCGTTGACAGTACAACATTGTGTAACTAGGTACTATAGGTCATCATTCATTTCCACATGGCAGTTTCCAGAAGACTCCCTATCAGCTTTATGTGATCACATCTGAGCGTTCTTCAGCAAGCAAACTTCGTAACGTTGCAGATAGAAATGTCATGAATAGAGCTGACGTGACTCCTTATTCTACATGTCAGACAGGCAAGTTTGGCCTACATAACATATTTGTATGTGACTGTTCCACAATGTTGTGCCCTGCTAAACGTGTCCCTTGTTCTATCAATCAACAGGATGTTAATCAGAACAGGATTGGACAGTTGGTCAACATTATATCCAGTGGCAACATTCTGCAGCTTTCTCACCCCTTGAACTCTGAAGCCGTTGGATCCCTATGCTATTGTAGTGTGGATTGGTGAAAACAAAATATACCATCACTTCAAGGTAGAAAAGTATGGTAAGTTGAGCTTCTTTATTGGACCTTTCATGCTAGGTAATATTATGGATCTGGCAGTTGAATCAATGCATCACAATCCTGGAACATTCATGAGTTAACTGCTGTTCACTTATTTCTAGTTTTGCCAAAGTTTGAAATCAAAATGAACCTCATCGATGAGATCAGCATTGTTCAAGAGTATAAAGTAGAAGTGTGTGCAACGTGAGTCAACACTACTGCCGTTTTGCAATGCACTGTAGTTACAAGACAATGTGCAACTCCACTAAATGTCACTGTCCAATTATGCTCATGCTGACTTAGATTCAAATATTTTTTTCAGTATTTCCATTACTTTCACAACATTTGAAAGTAAGTATCTGGATATTTTTTCTTAGAAAACACAAGTAGTTGAATATTGGAATGCACAGTGCATTCAGAAAGTAATCCGACCCCTTGATTTTTCCACATTTTGATACATTACAGCCTTATTCTAAAATGGATTAAATAGTTTTTTCCCCCTCCTATATCTACACACAATACCTCATAATGACAATGACAAAGCAAAAACAGGTTATTAGACTTTTTTTTGACAGAACTGAAATATCACAATTACATAACTATTCAGACCCTTTACTCAGTACTTTGCTTTAGCACCTTTGGCAGCGATTACAGTCTTGAGTCTTCTCGGGTATGACGCTACAAGTTTCTCCCATTCTTCTCTGCAGATCCTCTCAAGCTCTGTCAGGTTGGATGGGGAGCGTCGCCGCACAGCTATTTTAAGGTCTCTCCAGAGATGTTCGATCGGGTTCAAGTACGGGCTCTGGCTGGGCCACTGAAGGACATTTAGAGGCTTGTCCTGAAGCCACTCCTGCGTTGTCTTAGCTGTGTGCTTAGGGTCGTTGTCCTGTTGGAAGGTAAACCTTCGCCCCAGTCTGAGGTCCTGAGCACTCTGGAGCAGGACTTCATCAAGAGTCTCTCTATACTTTCCTCTGTTCGTCTTTCCCTCGATCCTGACTAGTCTCCCAGTCCCTGCCGCTGAAAAACATCGCAACAGCATGATGCTGCCACCACCATGCTTCACCGTAGGGATGGTGCCAGGTTTCCTCCAGACGTGACGCTTGGCATTAAGACCAAAGAGTTGAATCTCTTGGTTTCATCAGAACAGAGAATCTTGTTTCTCATGAACTGAAAGTCCTTTAGGTGCCTTTTGGCAAACTCCAAGCGGGCTGTCATGTGCCTTAAACTGAGGAATAGCTTCCGTCTGGCCGCTACTTAAAGGCTTGATTGGCGGAGGGCTGCAGAGATGGTTGTCCTTCTGGAAGGTTCTCCCATCTCCACAGAGGAACTCTGGAGCTCTGTCAGAGTGACCATTGGGTTCTTGGTCACCTCCCTGACCAAGGCCCTTCTCCCCCGATTGCTCAGTTTGGCCGGGCGGCCAGCTCTAGGGAGAGTCTTGGTGGTTCCTAACTTCTTCCATTTAAGAATGATGGAGGCCACTGTGTTCTTGGGGACCTTCAATGCTGCAGAAATGATTTGGTACCCTTCCCCAGGTCTGTGCCTCGAAACAATCCTGTCTTGGAGCTCTACGGACAATTCCTTCAACCTCATGGCTTGGTTTTTGCTCTGACATGCACTGTCAACTGTTGGACCTTATATAGACAGGTGTATGCCTTTCCAACTCATGTCCAATCAATTTACCACAGGTGGACTCCAATCAAGTTGTATAAACATCTCAAGGGTGATCAATGGAAGCAGGATGCACCTGAGCTCAATTTCGAGTCTCATAGTAAAAGGTCTGAATACTTATGTACATTTGATAATTTGCAAATATTTCTAAAAACCTGTTTTTGCTTTGTCATCATGGGGTATTGTGTGTAGATTGATGGGAAATATATTGTTGCAATTTTAGAATAAGGCTGTACTATAACACATTTGTGGAAAAAGGGAAGGGGTCTGAATACTTTCCGAATGCACTGTATTTGGAAATATACTTGGAAAGTATTAGCATGTATTTTAAAATAATAATATTTGTATTTTCTAATAAATATTTTAATACTTCATTTGCAACCAGGTCTGTTTGGTCCTAGGGATATTTGAAATAATGTATTTGGAAACAAGTATTTTAAAATAGTTTCAAATAGAAGTAGTTAATTTGCCCATATTATTTGAAAATACTAAAATACACAGACAATTTGTATTTAAATACAAATACTTAAATATGCATTTATTTGAACCCAGGTCTTTGCTAATGACAAATTGTCATGGCTGTCGGTGAGATGTGGTTGAAGAAGTCAGGCGCAGGACACAGAACTCTCGGACACGTACTTTAATCCGATACTGAACAATAGAACACAGAAATAACTCCACGCAGGGAGGAAATAACCCGCTCACTAATGACATACGTGAAGGGAAAACAATCACACACAATGTCCCGATGAGAGACAGGGGTAATATAAGGGCAACAATCAAACATAATGACGAACAGGTGTAAACAATACAGACAAAACTAAACAGACACCGATAACATCGAACGGCAGTAGCTAGTACTCCGGGGACGACGAACGCCGAAGCCTGCCCGAGCAAGGAGGAAGAGCAGCCTCGGCAGAATCCGTGACAGTACCCCCCCCCCCCCCCCCCCCCCCCCACCCTTGAAGCGCGGCTCCAGCCATGCGCCGACCCCGGCCTCGGGGACGGCCAGGAGGACGCGGAGCAGGGCGAGTCGGATACTCCGGTGGAACTCTGTCAACAGGGAGGGATCTAGGATGTCCCTCCTAGGGACCCAGCACCGTTCCTCCGGACCGTACCCCTCCCACTCCACGAGATACTGCAGACCCCCCATCCGACGCCTCGAATCCACGGTGGAACGGACTGAGTACACCGGAGCCCCTTCGATGTCTAGTGGGGGCGGAGGGGCCTCTCGTACCTCATTCTCCTGGAGTGGACCAGCTACCACCGGCCTGAGGAGAGACACATGGAACGAGGGGTTAAAGCGATAATTAATAGGCAGCTTTAACCTATAACATACCTCGTTCAATCTCCTCAGGACTTTAAATGGCCCCACAAACCGCCGGCCCAGCTTCCGGCAGGGCAGATGAAGGGGCAGGTTTCTGGTCGAGAGCCAGACCCGATCTCCCGGTGCATAAACCGGACCCTCACTGCGGTGGCGATCGGTGCTCGCCTTTTGCCGTCTGATGGCCCGCTGCAGATGGACGTGCGCAGCGTTCCATGTCTCCTCCGAGCGCCGAAACCATTCATCCACCGCAGGATCCTCGATCTGGCTCCGATGCCAGGGTGCCAGAACCGGCTGATAGCCCAACACACACTGGAAAGGAGTAAGATTAGTGGAGGAGTGGCGGAGTGAGTTTTGGGCTATCTCTGCCCAGGGAATATACCCCGACCACTCCTCCTGCCGGTCCTGGCAGTAGGACCTCAGAAACCTACCCACATCTTGGTTTACTCTCTCCACCTGCCCATTACTCTCAGGGTGAAAACCCGAGGTAAGGCTGATCGAGACCCCCAAACGTTCCATAAAAGCCCTCCACACTCTAGAGGTGAACTGGGGACCCCGATTAGACACTATATCCTCAGGCACCCCATAGTGCCGGAAAACGTGAGTAAACAGGGCTTCGGCCGTTTGTAGGGCTGTAGGAAGACCTGGCATAGGGATGAGATGGCAGGCCTTAGAAAACCGATCCACAACGACCATAAGATTGTGGTATTCCCCTGGGAGGGGGGAAGGTCCGTGACAAAATCCACCGACAGGTGAGACCACGGCCGTTGTGGAACGGGGAGAGGTTGTAACTTCCCTCTGGGCAGGTGTCTAGGCGCCTTACACTGGGCGCACACAGAGCAGAAAGAAACGTAAACCCTCATGTCCCTGGCTAAGGTGGGCCATCAGTACTTCCCGCTAAGACAGTGCACCGTCCGACCAATACCAGGATGACCAGAGGAGGGTGACGTGTGAGCCCAATAAATCAGTCGGTCACGGACCTCGAGCGGCACGTACCTCCGTCCCTCTGGACACTCTGGGGGAGTAGGGTCGGTACGTAACGCCCGCTCGATTTCCGTGTCGACCTCCCACACTACCGGTGCCACTAGACAAGACTCCGGTAGTATGGGAGTGGGCTCAATGGACCTCTCCTCTGTGTCATATCGTCGGGACAGGGCGTCTGCCTTAACGTTCTGTGACCCTGGGATATACGTGATCTTAAATACAAACCGGGCATGAAACATGGCCCACCTAGCCTGACGAGGGTTCAGTCTCTTCGCTGCCCGGATGTACTCCAGGTTACGATGGTCAGTCAGAATGAGAAAAGGGTGGTTAGCCCCCTCAAGCCAATGTCTCCACACCTTCAGGGCTTGGACCACAGCTAGCAGCTCCCTGTCCCCCACGTCATAATTGCGTTCCGCTGGACTGAGCTTCTTGGAATAGAAAGCACAGGGGCGGAGTTTTGGAGGCGTGCCCGAGCGCTGAGACAGTATAGCACCGATCCCCGCCTCGGACGCATCCACCTCGACTTGGAACGCCAAAGAGGGATCCGGATGTGCCAGCACCGGAGCTGAGGTGAACAGGTCCTTCAATTGACTAAACGCCCTGTCCGCCTCAGCCGACCACTGCAAACGCACCGGGCCCCCCTTTAGCAGGGAGGTAATGGGGGCTGCTACCTGTCCAAAACCCCGGATAAACCTCCGGTAGTAATTGGCAAAACCCAAAAAACGCTGCACCTCCTTTACTGTAGTTGGAGTCTGCCAATTACGCACGGCTGAAACGCAGTCAATTTTTTTGGCCCACTCCTCCATACAGACCTTCTCCAGATCCTTCAGGTTTCGGGGCTGTCGCTGGGCAATAAGGACTTTCAGCTGCCTCCAAAGATTTTCTATTGGGTTCAGGTCTGGAGACTGGCTAGGCCACTCCAGGACCTTGAGATGCTTCTTACAGAGTCACTCCTTAGTTGCCCTGGCTGTGTGTTTCGGGTCGTTGTCATGCTGGAAGACCCAGCCACGACCCATCTTCAATGCTCTTACTGAGGGAAGGAGGTTGTTGGCCAAGATATCGCGATACATGGCCCCTTCCATCCTCCCCTCAATACGGTGCAGTCATCCTGTCCCCTTTGCAGAAAAGCATCCCCAAATAAGGATTTTTCCACCTCCATGCTTCATGTTGGGATGGTGTTCTTGGGGTTGTACTCATCCTTCTTCTTCCTCCAAACACGGCGAGTGGAATTTAGACCAAAAAGCTCTATTTTTGTCTCATCAGACCACATGACCTTCTCCCATTCCTCCTCTGGATCATCCAGATGGTCATTGGAAAACTTCAGACGGGCCTGGACATGCGCTGGCTTGAGCAGGGGGACCTTGCGTGCGCTGCAGGATTTTAATCCATGACGGCGTAGTGTGTTACTAATGGTTTTCTTTGAGACTGTGGTCCCAGCTCTCTTCAGGTCATTGACCAGGTCCTGCCGTGTAGTTCTGGGCTGATCCCTCACCTTCCTCATGATCATTGATGCCCCACGAGGTGAGATCTTGCATGGAGCCCCAGACCGAGGGTGATTGACCGTCATCTTGAACTTCCATTTTCTAATAATTGCGCCAACAGTTGTTGCCTTCTCACCAAGCTGCTTGCCTATTGTCCTGTAGCCCATCCCAGCCTTGTGCAGGTCTACAATTTTAACCCTGATGTCCTTACACAGCGCTCTGGTCTTGGCCATTGTGGAGAGGTTGGAGTCTGTTTGATTGAGTGTGTGGACAGGTGTCTTTTATACAGGTAACGAGTTCAAACAGGTGCAGTTAATACAGGTAATGAGTGGAGAACAGGAGGGCTTCTTAAAGAAAAACTAACAGGTTTGTGAGAGCCGGATCTCTTACTGGTTGGTAGGTGATCAAATACTTATGTCATGCAATAAAATGCAAATTAATTACTTAAAAATCATACAATGTGATTTTCTGGATTTTTGTTTTAGATTCCGTCTCTCACAGTTGAAGTGTACCTTTGATAAACATTACAGACCTCTACATGCTTTGTAAGTAGGAAAACCTGCAAAATGAGCCTTTATAATATCTCTTATGAGGCTGATAATATACTTTCCCTCTAAGTAGGAAATGTATGATGTTCTATGTTTTTGACGTGTCTTATTATGAAGTAAAATCAGATACACGTATGGATAGCCTGTACCTGGTAAAGCAGAGGTAGAGCTGTGCCGACCCTTTGGCCACAATGTATTGATACCAATAAGAATTGATGAGAAATCAACAAGGAGGTATAATAAGTAATATGGTGAAACTTCTACCTAGCCTATCAGAGGACAAGGTGGAGATGTTAGTTACCATATTTACACCTCTCAAATCCGCTCAGGTCTCCACAAGTATATATGGCATAGGGTCTAAGGGTCGATTTGGGATTGGGCCTTCAGTTTAACTCTCTCTTCCCTCTGTTGCTTTCCAGGTAAGCAAAACACCACAAGTGGAGAACACTAGACACAGGCTCCCCTATTTCAACAGAGGGCAACACATACTCTCACTGATCCAACCCCACTGCCCCTCACAGTAAAACATCCAGCTCTCTGGCTATTCAGAAGATGGAGAAACCACTGGCATGTTGGGAGGAAGTGTCAATCACCATACTGTACGCCATCACAGGGGAGACCGTCCCAAAGGGCTCCGTGGATGTCATCTACCTGGTGAGTAGAACCAGGAGCAATTTGTGACAACCTGCGGGTGCGTCCAAAATGGAACCCTATTCTCTAGTGCACTACTTTTGAGCATGGTCATTTCAGACATAGTCCCAGCCTCATCTTCAAAGGAAGAATGTCTCTATACAACACCAATACTCCTCATCATCTCCTTCTTGCTGTCTTGATGGGATAACTGTTTTTCCCTCCTCCAGGCCTTATCCAGAGGGGCGATAGTTCAGCATGGACATATGAAGGTTACCGTGTCTGTGTGTTATACCCTCTGACTACTGCACATCACAAACATACTGTGTTAATTTTATGGAAGGTATAAAAAGTGTCAAGTATTTCCATGCACATAGATATCATTCCTCGAGTAAAGGTGTATAATCTACACTTACAGTTGAAGTTGGAAGTTTACATACACCTTAGACAAATACATTTAAACTCAGTTTTTCACAATTCCTGTGTCACGATCGTTCATGAACGAGAAGGACCAAGGCGCAGCGTGATATGCATTCATATTTATTTACGTACTGAACACACGACAAAACAACAAACGAAACGTGACGTCCAAGGTAGACAAATAATATACCTCACACGGAACAAGATCCCACAACTAACAGGTGCCAAAAGGCTGCCTAAGTATGGTCCCCAATCAGAGACAACGAGCGACAGCTGCCCCTAATTGGGAACCACACAGGCCAACATAGATCTAGACATACTAGAATCTAACATAGACAATCAACATAGCCAAACACAACACAGAAAATACACACCCTGACTCAACAAATACAAGTCCCGTGAGTCAGGGCGTGACAGTACCCCCCACCCCCCAAAGGTGCGGACTCTGACCGCGCCACATAAACCTAACAGGGTAGGGGCCAGGTGGGCATTCCGCCTCGGAGGCAGATCCGGCTCCGGGCGTGACCACCACTTACTCTCCACCTCCCTGTTGCGCCCCTGGTCTGGTCTGGACCTCGGCACGCTGCTTCCCCTCTCCTTCCTCCCACGACATACCAAGCCCTGTCTGGACCCTGGTGTGGGAGACCCCGAACCTGGAGAGGGGCTGACGTCTGGGTCTGGACTGGAACCGCAGACTGGAGATGGACCCGACGACGGTGGATCGAACTGCTCTGGCTCCGGAGTGGAGCCGCTGACCGGAGTTGGATCAGGCACCGGTGGAGCGGACTGCTCTGGCTCCGGAGTGGAGCGGCTGACCGGAGCTGGACTGGACCCCGGTGGAGCGGATTGCTCTGGCTCCGGAGTGGAGCAGCTGACCGGTGCCGGACCAGGCACGGGCCGTGCCGGACTGGACACACGCACCACTGGCTTGGTGCGGGGAGCAGGAACAGGCCGGACCGGGCTGGCGACGCGCACCACTGGCTTGGTGCGAGGGACAGGAACAGGCCGGACCGGGCTGGCGACGCGCACCACTGGCTTGGTGCGAGGGGCAGGAACAGACCGGGCCGTGCTGTCGTTTTACGTCTCATCAGACTAGCCATAAAGTTAGTCAGAATTGTACCAGGCTAGATACAGTTTCATGGACATGTTTTAGTATTTAAACATATTGTTTTGCAGGGTGGGGTGACAGATGAAGTCACACTGACGGCCTACACCACTGCTTAAATGCTGGAGCTCAACATGTCGGTGTCGGTAAGTAGCATCTCCACATAACCATTGTTTCTCACTACAACAACGTCCATTACAGGAAACTGATTTAGCCTCCTGTATGAAGTCTGTTGTATACGTCTTATGTCAACTGTCATTTAGATATTCTAAAATGTATTGAGTTGTGTATTTATTTAATTCACAGTGAAAGTACTTTTTCTCAGAAAGTTCCCTATGAAATAAGCAGAGAAATAGGTGTTACTGTAAGCAGATCTGAATGGTACTGTGCTGTTAAAACTGATAGTCAGCTTAGTTATGCTACTGTAAACTAAAAAAATAAAAGTGCTCCAGCATGAATGTGTCTAGCCTGGTCCCAGACGTGTTTGTATTGCCTTGTGTGGCTCTGTTATTTTGTGCTCCAGGATCCTGTTGTGTACGGCAGCTTGTCTTGCCTGAGGAACTCCACCAGCGATTTGTCCAACACCTACACTACTGCTCTGCTGGCCTACACCTTTACGCTGGCAGGGGACATGGAGACCCGGGCCCAGCTTCTGCAGCACCTGGACACGATCGCATTACAAGAGGGTGAGCCATATCCTGGTCCAAGATCTGTTTGTGGTGTCTTGCCTTGATTGAGCTTACCTGGGCAATGGAGCTAATGGAGTAATCCCAAACATGCAAACCCTCCGCCCGTCTGGCAAAAGTATTTTAAAGAACAAAAATCCTATTTGAACTCAGGTGTCATAAAATTATATTTTTGTCATAAAATTAATTGGGTAGGTCAGAGAAGAACGTTGTAGTCTGTATAATGATGAATAAGATAGCCCTATTCTCTGGTGTGTGTGTGTTCCTCATCCTCAGGGGGTCTCCTGCACTGGACTCAGACCTCCTCAGAGACCTCAGCCTCCCTGGCAGTGGAGATCAGCTCCTATGTTCTGCTGGCTTCCCTCAGTGCCTCTCCTCTGTCTTCCTCTGACCTGGGCTATGCCTCCCGCATCATCAGGTGGCTGGTGAGACAGCAGAACGCCTATGGAGGCTTCTCCTCCACACAGGTATACTTCCAAAACACCTCTGTTCCAAAATGGCACCCTGTGCTGTGCACTAGTAGTGAGGCATTATTACCTTGACTTTTACCAGACCACAGGCATGTATGTGCTTATTTTCATGGCAAGCCTGGTGAGGCTAACTTCCACTGAAATGGAGTCAAGAAATCATAATGGATGGAAATGGGAAATAGTCACTCTAGGAACTGACCAATGTAAAAATCGATCCTTTATGTAAAATTTTGTATTTTCTTCATTTTGAACAGATTGTTCTGTGGTCTGTTTGTGTGTGTGTTTAGGACACAGTCGTGGCCCTCCAGGCCCAAACTCTCTACTCCACCAGGGTGTACAGTAGAGATGGTGCCAGCACAGTGACAGTACAGTCTCCCAGTGGGGTACAGCACCTCTTCAAAACAACAAGCTTCTCTACCAGGAGAGGTCGATGTAGGACACCGAATGGAAGTACAGCGTGGAAGTGAAGGGCAGTGCTTGTGCCTCAGTGCAGGTCAGTGAAAACACATCTCTCCTCCCAATCCTATGGTGTAAATACAGTTTTATATATTACTGTTCAAACATTTAAGAAGCTTTGTCTGGCTTGATATTTAGTTTATGAAATGTGTATTTTGGCCTATCTTTTAAAATGTACAGTGGCTTGCAGAAGTACTGTCACGGAATCAGCCGAGGCTGCCCCTCCTTGCTCCGGCAGGCTTCGGCGTTCGTCATCCCCGGAGTACTAACTGCCACCGATCTATGTTTCGGTGTTTGTCTAGTTTGTCCTGATTGTTTGCACCTGTTTCCCATTATGTTATATTGTATTCCCTTTATAAACCCCTGTCTCTCATTGGTTATTGTGTGTGATTGTTTTCCGTTAGGTCGGCAGTGCTGGTTGTATGCGTTATTTGTTCCTCCCTGTTTGGAGGTTTTGTTTTGTACTTTCTTTACTGTGTTAAGTAAAGTACGTTCTGCCAGTAGTTCGGTGTGACTTCGTTTCCCGCATACACGTTCTGCTTGACTTCGTTTCCCGCATACACATCACCTTGACAGAATCACACACCACTCATGGAGTCAGCAGGAGCGGCGGTGCCAGCTGGATCAATGGAGGAACGCGTCGAACACCAAGCGGCCATGATCCAGGCTCTCGGCACCGCCATGGAACAGGTGGTGAGCACTATTGGGCGATGGGAAAGAGAGGGTCTGCCTACGCCTTCTCCAACGATACCACCACCATCGGTGATGCCCATCGCTTCACCTCCGGGGTCCAGTGGGATTCGGCTCTCGCGCCCGAGGGCTTATGATGGCACAGCGGCCGGGTGTCAGGGTTTCCTGCTCCACGTTGAACTACTACTTTGTAGAGACACCTTTTACAGCACTTACAGATGCAAGTAAAGCGTCTGCTAAATGGCTTTATTATTATTATTATTATTAAGTCTCTTGTGGTATGTCTCTATAAGCTTGGCACATCTAGCCACTGGGATTCTTGCCCATTCTTCAAGGCAAAACTGCTCCAGCTCCTTCAAGTTGGATGGGTTCCGCTGGTCTACAGCAATCTTTAAGTCATACCACAGATTCTCAATTGGATTGAGGTCTGGGCTTTGACTAAGCCATTCCAAGACATTTAAACCACTCGAGTGTTGCTTTAGCAGTATGCTTAGGGTCATTGTCCTGCTGGAAGGTGAACCTCCGTCCCAGTCTCAAATCTCTGACTGAATAGGTTTCCCTCAAGAATTTCCCTGTATTTAGCGCCATCCATCATTCCTTCAATTCAGTTTCCCAGTCCCTGACGATGGAAAAACATCCCCACAGCATAATGATACCACCACGCTTCACTGTGGCGATGGTGTTCTCGGGGTGATGAGAAGTGTTGGGTTTGCGCCAGACATAGTGTTTTCCTTGATGGCCAAAAAGCTCAATTTTAGTCTCATCTGACCAGAGTACGTACATGCCTTTTGGCGAACACCAAACGTGTTTGCTTATTTTTTTCTTTAAGCAATGTATTTTTTTCTGGCCACTCTTCCGTAAAGCCCAGCTCTGTGGAGTGTACTGCTTAAAGTGGTCCTATGGACAGATACTCCAATCTCCGCTGTGGAGCTTTGAAGCTCCTTCAGGGTTATCATTGGTCTCTTTGTTGCCTCTCTGATTAATGCCCTCCTTGCTTGGTCTGTGAGTTTTGGTGGGCGGCCCTCTCTTGGCAGGTTTGCTGTGGTGCCATATTCTTTAAATGTTTTAATAATGGATTTAATGGTGCTCCGTGGGATGTTAAAAGTTTCTAATATTTTTTTATGACCCAACCCTGATCTGTACTTCTCCACAACTTTGTCCCTGACCTGTTTGAAGAGCTCCTTGGTCTTCATGGTGCCGCTTGCTTGGTGGTGCCCCTTGCTTAGTGGTGTTGCAGACTCTGGGGCCTTTCAGAACAGGTGTGTGTGTATATATACTGAGATCATGTGACAGATCATGTGACACTTAGATTGCACACAGGTGGACTTTATATAACTAATTATGTGACTTCTGAAGGTAATTGGTTGCACCAGATCTTATTTAGGGGCTTCATAGCAAAGGGGTTGAATACATATGCATGCACCACTTTTCCGTTATTTATTTATTTGAATTTTTTGGAACAAGTTATTTTTTTCAATTCACTTCACCCATATGGACTATATTGTGTATGTCCATTACATGAAATCCAAATAAAAATCAATTTAAATTACAGGTTGTAATGCAACAAAATAGGAAAAACGCCAAGGGGGATGAATACTTTTGCAAGGCACTGTATATTTTTAGACAACATTGTTTCCCTGACTTCTTCTTCCCTCTTTCCCAGGAGGCGCTCCACTACAACATTCCTACTCCTACTGACAGCACAATGCTCAGTATCCAGGTGAAGACAGAGGTTGACTGCAACAGCAACTCTTTGAGAGCCAGAGTCACGCAGAAATTCCAGTCTCAGTAAGAATGAATGACACATTTGCATTCACAGAAGCATTCTTTCAATCAGTTTATTGATGACACTCAAATTTACTCAAATCACTTGGTTTCATTATACACATAAATCAAACTTTGATATCACAGGCATCTCTTTGCTTTCACAGATATCATGGAAAGGAGCTGACCACCAATATGATTATAGTGGATGTGAAAATGTTGTCTGGGATTGCTCCAGACCCAGAGTCTTTGGGGAGGATAGATGGCGTCATGAGGAAGGAAAATTATGTGGATATATTGAAGCAACATCTCAAGACGTCAGTCAGGAAGTTAAAACTTGGTCGCAAATGGGTCTTCCAAATGGACAATGACCTCAAGCATACTTCCAAAGTTGTGGCAAAATGGCTTAAGGACAACAAATTCAAGGTATTGGAGTGGCCATCACAAAGCCCTGACCTCAATCCTATAGAAAATGTGTGGGCAGAACTGAAAATGCGTGTGTGAGCAAGGAGGCCTACAAACCTGACTCAGTTACACCAGCTCTGTCAGGAGGAATGGGCCAAAATTCCCACTTATTGTGGGAAGCTTGTGGAAGGCTACCCGAAACATTTGACCCAAGTTCAGCAATGCTACCAAATACTAATTGAGTGTATGTAAACTTCTGACCCACTGGGAATGTGATGAAATAAATAAAAGCTGAAATAAATCTCTACAATTATTCTGACATTTCACATTCTTAAAATAAAGTGGTGAACCTAAGACATTCAATTTTTACAAGGATTAAATGTCAGGAATTGTGAAAAACTGAGTTTAAATGTATTTGGCTAAGGTGTATGTAAACCTCCGACTTCAACTGTATGTATTTCCACATTAGTCAAATTTTTAGGTCTAAAAACATCTGACAAACTTTCATTTGAGTGAAATGTCCCTTTAACCTATTACTGTATCAATATATGAAGTTGTTGTAAAAATTAAGAAAATGTGTAAGTCTTCGTATGTCTTGTACTTTCAGTCACCTGTTCAGCAAAGAAGAGATTTTGGAAAACTTACTGCCTTTATCACTGAAGACAACAGCCTCAGGTTGAATTGCGAGAACCCAGCACGTCCCGGGTCCCCGTCCTTTAATTGTGACTTCCTCATGTGGTGAAAAGACAACGTTGCTGATAATGCCGTGATGATAAGAAGATCCGCTGACACTGTACTTTGTTTATAAAGGTTTATTATAACAAAGAGTTTCAGCGTCAGATTTACAGATACCTGCAGATATCTGAAGAACAGCCGGACCCAATCTGATTTGCTATTCCTCCCTCCTTTGTTCAAGACATGGTATTTATATCCTATGTGACATAGTATGGCGTGATTTTAATACACCAATCCCTGGCTTTTCACATATCCTCTTTTCCAGGAATTTAGTAATGCTTTCCAGATGTTTCAGCAAGCAGAGCCAAGTTTCCTCTAACACACTTTTGCAAACGTCAGCACAATCACAGACCCTCAGACACTACATATTTCCCCCCTTCGAGACTAATTAAGTCTCGAAAACAAAAAGAATAGAATTATGACAAATAACAATTTTTTTCTTGAGTAACTTTAGCAATAAATCAAAATTTATGGAGAGTAAACACATGTTTATATAGACACATTTTTGTATGTAGTGTAAATACATTGTTATGGAGTGTAAATAAATTGTTATGGAGTGTAAATAAATTGTTATGGAGTGTAAATAAATTGCAATGGAGTGTAAATAAATTGTTATGGAGTGTAAGAGCGAAAAACCTGTCTGGCAGCTTTCATTCTAAATATCCATCAGTCAATCAAGACAGGAAAATTCTCTCACGGCCCCTCTGCCCTAGGCGACCACCTAAGTACTCCAGACCAATTTATAAATCTTTATCAATACATTTTAAGCTATGATGCAATTGAATACACATGAAAACCCCAGCAAACAAAATACAATCAAAAATGTCCACATTCAGGCTGGTCGACCCATCGGACCCTCCTGTGGATTCTCTCTGTCCTTGCCTAGACCCAATTTCCCTAAGCTTTAACGAAATAAACAAAAACATCTGAGGTCCCCACATGTACCCAACAACAGAAAACATAATTCTTCAAAAAATTAATACAGAAAGAATTTAACACTGGAATGTAGTCCACTACACTGCAGCTCCTCCACAGTGTCGACTTTCAATGCGACTTCGATGATGGAATCTGAACATTTCCACACCTCCCTTGTTCCACTTCCTCCAGTCCATTCATATTGTCCATGTTTGAGTATTTGAGTCCCTCTACATATTTCCCCATATGCTTCTGGAAGAAAATAAAAGACCAAACAGTATATTTTGCAAAACAACACATTCAAATTAAAACTTCAATATCAACTAAAAATATAAGAATTCCAAAAATGATATGAATTCCATTTCCCCCCTTTGATTCATCAAATTATAGTAAAACAAAGTATTTTCAGCCCCAATTTACAGCTACCGCACTTAAAGATGAAGAGGCCCTGATTTGCTATTCACTCTCCTCCAATGAATCCAGAAACATTGGTAGTTTAATAATTCTATGGCATATGATGGTGGATGATTTTAATAACAAATTTCTCTATTTTGTTATATATCCTCTTTTTCACAGGAAATTTAGTAAGTTTCCAGAGTTTTCACAAAAGGCTGAGGCCCACCTATGTTCCTCTAACATTATTTTTGGGGCGTCGCACAATAAACTCCCTCAGAAATATTTTCCCTATGGGTTGAAAATTAAGTCTGGCCACAACCAACCTGAAAGCTTCTACAATCCACTTTTTTCCTGGGCGTGTGTTATCAATTTATGGAAAAACACATGTTTATGACACATGTTTGTGATGTAGTTTACTGTAAATTCACTATGTTATTCTGTACATAAATGTCTCCTGGTGTCAGAAAACAGCCTATGGAGTTTGTAAAAAATTGCATGCTGTCACAGAGAATGGTGTTCTTGGGTGCAAGAGCAAAACCTGTTTTGGTCCTTTCACAAATTCACAGTGATTAAACCAAAAATTATATTTAGGTCATCTGACCGTATGCACCACCTAATACTTCTGAACCAATGCATTCAAATCCTACATGTACTTGTTAACGGGGCTCTCGATGAAATTTGAATCCCTGGCGGCTAGTAACTGAGATTTTTACTCTTGGTCCCATTTCTGCAGGTCATCCTAGGTCCCCCGTGTGGTTTTCTTTTGCTCCGTTCTTGTTCATGACCCCCAATCTTGCTAGCCCCAATCGAAATAATCAAGTACTTGAGTCTCCTTCCAAATAACGCCACTGATTTCTTCAAACCAACTTAATTGCAGAAAGTTCCAACACTGGTGCAGTCACAATGTGGTTTCCTTTGACAGTCGGCTTGCCATGTGAGTTTGGAGGGACTGTGAACTTTCCACAGCTGTCTTGTTCCACTTACCTCACAGTCCTTATAGTCCATGAGCATGACCTCTCAAATGCTGGAGAGCCAGAAGTTTTTTCAAAACCACCATTCATAATTCATTAAAAATTACGATTTTCTAAATTTCTATTGTTCATATGATTGAATTCCTTCCCCCTTTGATTCATCACAATAATATAATTATCCCACAATCAGATATTTCAAATTTCCTAGAGTTATTTCAACCCTAGTTTTCATAACATTTTAGTCTGACTTTTTCCAATTTTTTATTTTTCTCTAATTTTTTCTAAAACCATTTCACTGATTTATTCACAAAACTCTTTCCCATTTTCTGAGGATATTAAATCGGGAAATTCCCACCTGCTTATGACTTCTTTACACAAAAACTTTGTAACCGACTGAGCATATTTTAGCTTAGTTGGACATCTTATGCACCTCTTGGTATATGAATGTAACCAAGAAAAACAGTCACACATTATTTTTCAGACAGATTATGCATCTGCATATGACATAGTCAATCTATTTCAGAAAATATGGTTCCCAAAATCATACTCCTTTGAGATCTTTATCCTAATCTCCCCCCTTGCAACATTAGCTAACCCATAGCTTCCTAAATCATCATGGTTTCTCCAAAACAATAATTGATTGCTACTCTAAGGATATTTTTTTCATTGTCTTCAAAACACTTGCTTTCGAAAGTCCTTCAATTTCTGGTTCAATCCCTTGGATTGCTTCATCTTTCAATGGATACTGATTCTTCCAAGGAGGTCTGGCTCCTGGTCGAAGTTCAACTTTCACCTCAATTGAGCTGATTTCACAAATCCAATATCAGTACTACTTTGATATCACAAACATTCTTGAACTTTTTGCAACATCTTCTCTTTAATAGGGTCTGAATCCATCTTCACACTGCAAATAGATTCATTTGTCTTCCGTACAGCTTGTGGCTCTCCTTGTCCTTGAGGCAAAATCATCATTTTGAGAAATCGCTGATCTTCACTCCTCCAAATCCTTCTCATAATTAGTTGATTTGACATAGTGAGATGTGTAACCTCTTCTTGTTTATTTTCACTTCAATTGTTGGATCTTTTTCCCTAACTGGTGCTACCAGCTGAAACCCCCCTTTCGGATCTTCTGGGCACCTCTAGAATCCTTGCTCCTATAAGGGTTCACCGGTCCTCCCGATGATCTTGACTTGCTCCTGTATCTTCCTCTGAAATTCTTTCTTTCCAGAAACTATCTATGGATATGAAACAACTTGTACCACTAGTTGTGGCTGGTACAGTTGCATTTGACCTTGTTCAGTTGAAGCTGTAGCAGTGATTGTTGATTTGGTTCACACTGATTCTTCATAACCAAAGCTTTTCTTCTCCTTCTTCTTCTCCACCAGTTGTATTTGATTGAGTTTTCTGAGAGTTTCTTGGTCCTGTTCTTTCTGGTTGTGTTCCTTTTTCCGGTACAGATCCACTTGATGGGCTATATGATCTGTATAGACACCTTTTGTCATGCTCCCAAGTCCAACCACCTCTGCCAGTTTGCTCCTTACTGGTGAGGGCAGTCCCATCTGTAGTTTAGCTCTCAAAATTGACTGCTCAATTTGACTCACATCTGGATCATTTCCAGTAATATTTCTCCACACTTGATGAACTCTTGACACGTAGGCTCTCGGATTTTCTTGTTGTCCTAGTGGATCAATCAGAATGTTGTCAGGATGCACATTTGTTGGAAACGTATCTCTCAGTGCTCTCCACAGTCGATTTCTACTTGCAGCCAACAATTCAGGGTCG